CTGACGAGTTTGAGCAGATTCAAGGGAGGCTTTTTGATGCCCTGCCTCATTGGGGAAAGAATCGAGATGTTGCCTTCGACAACATCTTGCACAAATTGCCAGGTGCAGCAAGGTTCCTGCGTGTCAGGTGAGAATGGAATGCTGAAATTTCAAATGGCGGATTTGGATTCCAGTCGTGGCATGGCCTTTTCCCGTTGAAGCTGATTGCCACATGTGTTCTATGCCATCCCGTCCACTGCCAGGCAACAATTTGATCCTCGTGGCTTATTCCTCAATGAGTGGGCTATGAGGGTTTTTCGCCTCAGCAGGACACCTGTCCAAACGTACCGTCCGCTCTGTGCTTTGGAAGGTGTCTGCCACTGCACGGACGACTCCCACTGCAACCCAGCAGCTGGTGCTTTCTGTGCCCAAGGCTTGGTCTTCACCAATGCCACCGTTTGCCGCCTTGCAACTGTTCAGCAATCTTAGTGTCGGATTTCTTAAAAACATTAAATAGAAGCTGCTGGCCCAGTGTCTGGAGTACCTGTTCAAGTGCGTCATGTTATATGCAATTTTAAACAAATGATAAATACATATGATATAGATACATAGGAGGATTTACACGGGCGTAGACAAAAAGACAAGTGCTGAGCTGCTGAAAAACATGTATAGAGAACTTGCTATCAGTATCGTTCAGAAGTGTCAGTCGACGAGGTGTCAGCTGAAGCGGACTTCGTTCGACGGATGGTGTTTAGCGCTTAATGTCATCTGCGACTTTTTGCTCTAACCGGTTGTTGAAATCGGATAATCGTCGCCATGACAAGGACATCTCTTGAGACTCCTTGCAGACATTTGAGCTCCTTCCTCCTAACATAGCACTCGGGTTCTTCACGTGGACGTCACTAAAAAAATCAAACTCGTCGCCGAGTGACTTCTGGCATGTCTTCACGTAAAACGGGTCGTACATGATGCTTCCCATGGTGACTCCGAACTGATTGTTGAAAGCGACGCGTTCTAAAACAGCCTTTTGAAGTGAGTAAAACAAGAGCACAAGCTAGAATAAAAGAGCTTCTTTCAGATGTTGATGCTCAAGACTGCAAGGTCACTCAGACTAAATGGAACAAGGTCACAGGCCAGCTAGAATCAGAGGAACTTAATCTGATGTTTGAACAACTCCACAACACACGGAAGATCACCAGGAACAAGGAAGTTTAGAGGCCAATATGCCAGAACAAGGAATATTCGCTTGCCTGAGAGCATTTGTTGCTCTCCCTGGTCTTGCAGAACGGATAATAGCGGCTTGAGGATGTGCTTGGGCTGGGCCCGCCCTTTGGCTGGCCTTTGGTGAAGACCCAGCCCAGAGTCCAGACAGACGGACGGAATTGAGCGGAAGGTTCATATTTTCCGAACTTGCAGAAATCGCTCGATTCGTCGAAAAGCATATTCACGCCAACGACTCTGCCCAGTAGGTGGACAGCATGGCGCCATGTCACCTCTACGTCAACCACTCGAGCGCCATCACGATATCCATTTCGGACTCCGTCAGCGCGAAGCGGTTTGTGACGACAGCAGATCGACGGCGGTGGAGCATTCCGTGTCTCCCTCGCACCTCCCAAGCCATCCGGCTCACGGATTGGAGGAACAAGCATTCCCGAATCCTGGTGAACCACACGGCTGGGAGTCCGCTCTCGATTCCAGACGTGTGGAACAAGACAGGAAACTCGATAACCTCGAATCACATAGAACACTACCCAGCGTTACGAGACACATACAGAAAAAAAAAACGTTTTAAAATTGGTATGAGTTGAGTGTTTCGTATTGATTACTTAGTCCTAACCTGGAACACTTTGACTTCTAGGGATGGTGCCAGCAATACTATGCCCTGAGCTAGGACGCAACGGTCTCACCCGTGCCAGCAAACCTGGGGATGCAGAATGGGATGTGCGTCTCCTGAGCGAGCCACCAGACAGTGAATTCAGCCTGACAACCCGTTTTCGAGTCCCCTCCTTTCTTGACCTCCCTGTTCCTTGCACAGCTGCTGCCAACCGTGACAAGAATGTTGACCCTGACTGGCTCACCTCTTCCTCCTCACCTCCTATCACTGCCATCAACTCTGCATTGACCTCAAATTCCTGGTGAAGAGCGGCACATGCACCACCTGCTGCTGATGCAGGAACAGCATCATTGCAATAATGGCAACCAGACCCTAAACCATCCACTGCTCCCGCTGGCGTTTCTCTGGTCCCGCTGCATCCAACATTCTCTCCACCCTCACCCCCCTGCTCCTGCCTCCCTTGCCGAGCCTGTCCTCCCGTCCTGCGGCTCGGCGTCAGCGGCCCTGACTTCGACACACGCATCCCCTGCCGATTACCTCGCTCTCTTCTACCTTGAGCTTCGGGGCCAGGTCTCAGCAATCCCTGACAGGTCTCCACTTTATCTGGATCCAAGCCGCCATTGCCAGTTTCACGGACTGTCCTAGCCTCCATTCGCTCTGTCACACGAGCAGACAAACTGCGGACCAGGCGGAGGGGTTGGCCTAGGTCTAACCTGCTCCGCACTGTCTCCTTTATGACTGTGTTCCCACTAGATTCACCCTTCCTCCTGCTAGAGCCACTCGTGCTTCCACTCGCGCTGCTCGTATCTGCGTCCACGTGGCACCCGCTGTGACGTCTGCTGCTTCCGCTGCCCAAGCTCCGCCGCCCGAAGCTGCGCCAGCGGTGAAGAACCCCTGGCTTTAATGACATGGAACCATCTGACAGATCATCACTCCTGCATTGTTCAGTTTGTGTCCCGTGCCGAGAAACCTGCTGCTGCGGCTGGGGATGCGGCGGCGGTTGTTGTTTCTGCACCGACAGCCGCGCGAAAACGCCAATGCTTTTCGGCGGAGGTTCGTCTCGCGCTCGCGGGAGTTCCCAGAACGTGGGCGGAATGTCGCACGCCAGCGACGGCGGAGCCTCCCCCGGAATGCGCGTGGCGAAGAAGTCCGCCGGAAGCGGCCGCGCAGTGTCCCTAGGAGTGACGCTTGCGCGTGACGACTCCGCGAGCGCGCGCGCCCAGGGCCCCGCGGAGGCGGAATGCGGGGAGAAGATTTCCGCCAGGAGCGGGTTGTCGGGCACGAGGAGGGCGTGCGCGGGACGCGCGTTCCGCGCGTGATGGTGGTGCGCTGCCTTGAAGGGGACAGTGGCGCGGGGACTCCCGGGGAAGATGCGCGGGCCTTGCGCGCGCGGGGATGAGATCCTCGTGCGCGCCAAGGGGCTGTGCGTGTGAACTGCGCGGCTCAGAGGACTCCCCGCGGCAGGCGGAGAATTTGCGCGGAGAAAAACCTCGTGCGCCCCAGGGGGCCTATGTCGAGGTAAGGGGCTTCCCCCCTGTCTCCGCCGAAACTTTCCGTTTAGGGGCGATTGTGGAAGGTTGCCTCCGCGGCAGTGTTCCCCCAAGAAACGATGCGCGGGCGAGAGAACAGCGCCACTTACGCCACTGGGATCACTTGCGACAGTGGCGGGATCTGCGGCAATGGCGGCATCAGTATGATATTGAAGATGATCCTCAAATGGGAGTTCAGAAGCTGCGGGCGGCAGCAGTAGCCCCGGATCACGTAGCGGAGAGAATCGCGGAACCGCTGGAGAGGGATCGTCACTGGATCTAGATCGGACAACTGCCATTGCTTCTCCTCTGGTTCTCGGCCTTCCGATAAGTTGGACTCCTAGTTATGCGACTAAGCAACTAATACGAGATTCACGTCGACAATCGGTGGCCTGTCTTGTGTCTTCGCGTCAGATCGAGATGTCAGTGTCATCACTCGCCAGACACTGGAACATTCACCACACGAAGTCTCACTCTCATTGACGTGACATTCTAGCCTGAACGATTCTGACGTTCGATTGTTGGCGGCGTGGCGAAGCAAGGCAACCCAACGGTTGCTCTACTTCCGTTCAAAGGCTGTCATTTCAATGCTCTCACTGACCTTGTGGGGACAATTCTACAAAGAATTCGCGAGAATCGAACGAATTGCTCAGATGAGGTAAGAAAGAGGCAGTTGGTGGTCTGGTCCGTTGAGAGACGATGGATGGAGAAGTGAATCGTGGGTGCGGTAGTCGACGGTGTTGAGAGCATGTTTGCGAGGTTTAAAGGTAGAAATTGCGTTTCGGTATGGTGGTAGAGGGTTCTCTCGTTATGTACATTCTTCAATGTAGGTGGTCTGGTCTTGCTGAAAAAAAACTAGAACCCCATCGGATGGCATGCCATCCGAGGGAGGCATCAACCCTAAATCCATGCCTCCCTGTGTTTAGGGTTGATGCCTCCCTGACCGGATGCATGCCCGAATGGGTTTTATTTTTTTTGCCCTCGGGCAGCGAGCTCCCCCGGGCGGACTCGCTTGTCCACTGAGATATATTCGGCGGCTCAAAGCAGCGAGTACAGTACAGGAATCAGGAGGATAAAAGATTGGCCTGTTGTCATTGTTGTCAGGTCCACACTCGCTGGCGTACACAAATCATATATCTGATGAATCGATTGATCTCGACTTGATGATGTGAGACGAGGGGCGGCACTGTGAGCCAAAAATGTGGCAGACCGCTGAAATTCTCCCCAGGTACTGGGGAGGATTTTAGCGGTGCAGAGGTTGTATTGGGTGCCCAAGGTTGTTGGGAGGAGCTGGGAGGAAGCCAAAAGACAAAGGGAGTTGTAAGGAAGCGAGGCGTGTTTCGATATTATTTGCATACTACAAGGTTAATGTAGTACTGAACCAATCAAGACATTTACGGTACTCTGAAAAATGCACCTTCAAGAGGACTTGCTGATTTGGAGTTTTCACTGGCATGGCTTCTCAACATGTGCAGTCTCCTACATCTGGAGTTCTGTGGTTAAGGTTTGACAGTTGTAAATAAGCAAGTTTGCTTCACAATGCCCATGTACAGTAAATAAGGAAACAAAAAGGTAAAAACAAAACAACTCCCTTCTTTGTAAGGGCCAACACAAACAGGCTAAACCCCTCAACCAGACCCGATCACCCACTAGCTCTCTCAGTGAGCCATGAGAGTGAGCGCATCCCGAGAACGTCCCATCAAGTTCAACACGGTGGATGCAATCTGGCCGGCAGACAGCCCTGCCTCGATGATTTGATCCTTGGGTGCTCCGTGCTCAATGTAGCGGTCGGGGAGGACAACAGGACGGAACTGATGGGGGTGAAGGGTGGAACAAGGGGACAGGAAGCAGGCAGAAAGGAAGGTTAGGTTTCAGCCTTGACTAGCTCGTCCACAGCCTTAATTTGGAAACAATGCAACCCACTCCAGGGAGAGTAACTTGCTCTCATCTTAGTCTTGCCATCCTCGGACATCCCATCCAGCGCCAAGAAGTGGTGCGGGTGAGCCGAGGTGTATGGTGTGCCCTAACCTCTCGGACGCACTGCCTTGTTCTCACCTTGATCATGCCGTCATCAAACAGCCCATCCAGCGCCATGAAGTGCTGCACGTGCGCCGAGAAGCCTCTAAGTCACACCCACACTTATGGGAGTACTCTAGTAGGATGGGAGTCACAACAGTATGCTCACCTTGATCTTGCCGTCATCAAACAGCCCATCCAGCGCCATGAAGTGCTGCACGTGCACCGAGAAGCCTCTAAGTCACACCCACACTTATGGGAGTACTCTAGTAGGATGGGAGTCACAACAGTATGCTCACCTTGATCTTGCCGTCATCAAACAGCCCGTCTAGCGCCATGAAGTGCTGCACGTGAGCCGAGAAGCCGCCCACCGAGCCCTCCTCCACCACCACCAGCACCCCATGGTTGCGCACGAGCTGGCGGATCAGATCGCGATCCAACGGCTTGCAGAAGCGCGCGTCAGCCACGGTGACCGAGATGTCCCGCTCCTCCAGCATCTTGGCGGCCGCCAGGCAGTTGAGAGACATGGTGCCGTAGCCGAGTAGGGCCACGTCTGTCCCCTCCTTCAGGATCCTTCCCTTGCCGATCTGCAAACAAGGTGGGTGGGTAGGGGAAAGAGAGAATGGAGGTGGAGATGAGGGCAGGGAAGGAGCAGATGCCAGGCAGTTGAGCGGCATGGTGCCGTAGCCCAGCAGGGCCACGTCTGTCCCCTCCTTCAGAATCCTTCCCTTCCCCATCTGCAGAGAAAACGGGTTGGTAGGGAAAGAGGGAAAGGATCCAGAGATGAAAACAGGGAACGAGCAGCTTCCTGGAAGTTGAGCGACATGGTGCCATAACCCAGCAGGGCCACGTCTGTTCCCTCCTTCAATCAGGATCCTTCCAAAAGGTGCAACTTTAAGCCCCCCCTTGTTATAAGCAGCAGGTCACCACAGTGCACGAGGAAAAGCAGGATGATCGGCGGGGAGAATACAGACAGGAAAAGTGCTTTCTCACCTCGAGCGGCACGCCCTTATTGTTGGCAGGCAGGGGCAGCCCGATCCCGTTCCCACGAGGGTACCGGAACACACTGGGGCCCTCGTTATAAGCCGCTGCAGTAGCCACCATGTGGAAGAGCTCGACCTCATCAGCGGGCGCCATCACCACCATCTCGGGGAGGCACGCCAGGAACGCCACGTCATACGCGCCAGCGTGCGTCGCCCCGTCAGCGCCGACCAATCCCGCACGGTCGACAGCAAAGCGCACCGGAAGCTTCTGCAGAGCCACGTCATGCATGACTTGGTCGTACGCGCGCTGCAGGAAGGAGGAGTAGATGGCACAGAAGGGCTTCAGCCCCTCGACAGCCATGCCCGCCGCAAAGGTAACCGCGTGCTGCTCCGCAATCCCGACATCGAAGCAGCGGTCCGGGAAGCGTTTCGCGAAGAGGTTCAGCCCGGTTCCACCACCCATGGCGGCGTGAATTGCCACCACATTCTTATCCTGCTCTGCCTCCGCAATCAGTGCTTCGGCGAAGTAGGTGGTGTAAGCCTGGGTGGCGCTCTTCCCCTTGTGCTGCCGCCCGGTCGCCGGGTCAAATTTCACCACGCCGTGATATTTATCCGCTGCCCGCTCCGCGTACGGGTACCCGCGCCCCTTTTCAGTCACAACGTGGATAAGCACAGGCCCGGTCGACTGAGTGTTCTTAACCTCCTTCAATATAGCCACAAGATCCTCGACTGAATGCCCGTCCACCGGGCCGATATAGTACAGCCCAAGCTCCTCGAATAGAGTTGAGCCCGACCCGCTGATCATCCCCCGAGCGTATTCATCCACCTTGGCTGCAATCTCATGCACCGGGCCTCCGATCTGCTTCGACACGCCCTTGGCAACCTCCCGAAGCTCGCGGAGAGGTCTGGAGGATTGGAGCTTGCTCAGCGCGCTGCTGAGCGCGCCGACGGGGGGAGCGGGGCCGTCAACGGTGGCGGTGGGGAGGGAGACCTGCTTGTTGTCGTTGAGGATGACGATCATGTTGGAGTCGAGGTAGCCGGCGTTGTTCATGGCTTCATACACCATGCCCGCCGTCATGGCACCGTCACCGATGACTGCAATCACATTGTTCTTCCGCCCCTTCAGATCGCGCCCCACCGCCATGCCTGGGGGAGTAAAGAGGGGGGAAAGGAGGCGGGGGGGGGGGGGGGGGGGGGGGGGGGTGAGGGGGTGGGGGAGAGAAGATGAGGGGGAGAGAGCGTTAGGCACGTTACATCCCTTGGGATCAAGGCCGACGGCCATGTTGACCACGGCTTTCTGGCGCCCTAATGTTCTGAAGGAACCTCTGAAAGGCGTCACACGCGGCCCATGGCTCACGGTGCTCAGCCCTCAGCCAATGGACGACAGATCACGGTTCTCAGCCCTCCGACCTCCCCCATATGCCCACGGTCCACGGGCATGTCAGGCAATGGACCGGGAGGGGGAGGCGGAGAGGAAGGAGAGGAGCGAAGGGAGAGAGGGAGTGGGATATAGACCATAACTACGCACGCCCTTGCATCCGGCTCAAATCACGTGGCGGCTTGCCGTTCTCTCGGCTAGTGCCATTCATGCTACCAGGAGAGTTGGGCATAGCGGCGTAGGGTCCGGAGAGAGAGTATGCGGAGGCAATTAGAGGACTGAAACGATGGATGGGTGGAGTTCGTCGGGTGAAAATAGTCCAAGAGTTGTAAGGGAAATAGGACTGGGAGAACGGGGATGGGTGGCTCGGAGTGACGGGTGAGAGAGACGACACCGCCATTCACCATGGCTCAACGTTGCTCCTGCTGTGCTTGAGTGGGGTTCGAAGAGTGCAGACGTGTTTCTTAGTCAACTGGGAAGGTAGTCACACCAGGGAAATCAGAACACGGAATAACAGCACAGGCAGGGCGTCCACCACCCATCCCAACCACTGCCAGTTACGCTCAACCACTCCACCAACCACAGCACTCACCCATCCCAGCCAGTCACCTCTACCAACCCCAGCTAACCACCAAACCCAGCCACGCCCAGTTACACCCACCCACCCACCAACCCCAGTCACTCTACCAACCCCAGCCACGCCCGCCCACTCCCCCATCCCAGCCACTCACCAAGCCCGGCGGAGATACTCGTGGAGCTGTGCCCGGCGCCGAACGCATCATACTCGCTCTCCGCGCGCTTCGTGAACCCGGACAGCCCGCCCGTCTGGCGCAGCGTGTGCATGCGGCTGCGGCGGCCCGTGAGGATCTTGTGCGGGTACGCCTGGTGGCCGACGTCCCAGATGATGCGGTCGTCGGGCGTGTTGAACACGTGGTGCAGCGCCACGGTCAGCTCCACCACGCCTAGCGAGGATCCCAGATGCCCGCCCGTCTTCGACACCGTGAAGATCGTCTCCGCGCGCACCTCCTCCGACAGCTGCTTCAGCTCCTGCTCGAGGAAGGGGGGGTGGGGGAGGAGGGGGAGAGAACGGGCGGGGGAAGGGAGCGGGGGAAGGGGAGGGGCTTGAGAAAATGGTCACCGCGCGCACCTCCTCCGACAGCTGCTTCAGCTCCTGCTCACGGGGAAAGGGAAAGAGAGGGAAAGAGAACGGCGGGAGAATGGGAGGGGAATGGGACGGGGGAGCGCACAGGGCTAACGGGCAGGAGGAATGGGACAATGAGCTCGGAATTTTGTGAGACGACCCTAGTTTCCCGCCCGAGTCAGCGCGGACCATCTGCTCTGGGTAAGGGCCGGCGGAAGGGATCCGGGAAGGGATGGAGAGGAGGAACGACGATGGGCAGACGGACGGGAGCGATGGAAAAGACATGCTGAGTCAGCGACATGGTCTAACGTCTCGAGACTACCACTGTAAATATTGAATTGGCACCTGAAACCTAAACTTGCAGAGATTGTGTCCGGCTCTCCATGTACCAGTATAAGCTCGATATGCGGATACCTTTCCCTAGCGCCTGAAGGTCCGAGTTCCTCTTTCTCTCTATAACCCATCAGTTATTGACGCTTTTCCGTCATGGTCATATTTCTACGAGAGCAGCCATTGGACCTTGAACGAGTAAAAAAGACGTAACTTGTTCACCCCTCAGTAAAACACGCACCCTGATGCTGAGATTCTTCATGTGAATCGGGTAGTTGACAGTATCGAGGATAGGCGTGGGAGGCTTCTCGGTGAAGTACTCGCCCTTCTCGCTGAGAGTCGCCACGGGGCCCTGATGTCATAACCAGGCATTCAGAAAGAGAACAAAACACGGAAATGCATCAGCCACCGTACAAGAAGGTACGAGAGGATAATTTGGACAAACAGTGGTTGGCTACCAGCGAAAGAAAAGCTAGGGATAAAAAAAAAAGGCTGGTACCGCGACCTAACCATCTGGCACTGAATGGATGCAGAAGCAACGAGCTTACATTGTTGGAGCTTCTACGCTGGACGTTTCGTCCCCTCTTCGCGACGTTCTTCCTGTCCGTGAGATTCACGTTCTGGCGAAGGCCACAGAAGCCATCGACCTTGAGTACAGAGTGCGAGGAGGAAGCCAGCACGGGCTCCTGGGAGAGCCCAGCCGCCAGCACGGCGTTAGCGCCGGAGCGGGAAGCGAGGGACGCAGCCATGGTCGGTCAATAATAATATAAGACCTGGTGGTGGCTCAGCTCGCGCTGGGCTTGACGTGTGATCCAACGAGCGGCCTTAGCGGTTGCGAATATTAGAATTGACTGACGAAGAAACCAACCACCGAACCCTTCAGACTTCAGAAGCTGTCGCGGGAAACTCGAGGGAAAGCTTCCTTTTTGGAGGTGTAGGGCGAGAGAGGGCCGCCGATTTGGGTCAGATCGGACGGCGAATAGTGTGGCCAGCAGAACGCCCACAACAATGGCTTCTGGTTTCGACTTGAGTGGTGCGGGGAGACCAATGTGTGAACCTGAAAGTTGTCAGGGAGACTGGAGATGAGGTCGGGCAGCCTCGATCTCGAACGTATGCGTGGTGTTCCCTTGATTCTCTGGGAGTCACTTTGTTTGCCTGGCTGACCGTGCCTCGAAGTTATAGCCACCTCCGGCAGGGCGCGGCAGCGTTGATTCCAGAATCGAAACAGAACGGAGTGATATGTAAGGGCAAAATGGACATAAACCGGAAAGTTTGTGGAAACTCTGGAGATTTCCCTTGCCCTGCGGGATATTGCGGGTGGAGTTCCCAACCAGTCAGGCGGGACGAAAAGCTGCTATCCTCCAGGGTCTGAGCGAGACGAAATTTGAATGCTGAGGTGGCAAACACTTTCGGAGCCACATCATCCGAAACGTATCGGGTTCCGCCTGTCGTGTTCATGTACCACTGTGGGGTCGTGGATGCGTCCAATGAATGCCGAGGAGGCTCCGCTGGCTTATCCTGCACTTTTGAGGTCGGCGCTCGCTTTTGTAATCCTTCCTTCTTGGCACACCGTAGCAACTTATTTATGAAAACAGTTTATTTACAGTACACTTCCGAGGTGGAATCGTAGTGATTATTCCCTCTAACCACAATAACGGGTGTGTCGAATTCGACTTGATGATTTCCCTCATGCATACTACAAACGGGGATGTTTTGATGTGACTTGTCCCCTCCAATTTTGACAGCGATAGTTTCAATGCTTGTCACAAAAACCGCACCGCCATTTCCAATGCACGGCATTCTTACTACGCGTCGCGACGCAGTTCCTCCAGACGTCAATGACGAAGGTCGGTGCGATTGAGGTGACGACTATCCGTACCGTTTGTCTGCTGTGCACACTCCCACCCGTGGAGCTCGGAAGTCGGTATAAACGTCTCCATGGAAGTATCACCTTCTCAGTCAACTCCTGCCGAATTTGGCAGTTTCTAATGAATTCCTCACCTCCGAACAGCTTAACTCTCGTCAGTCGTCTCCCGTGATCTCTCGACTATGGAGCGACCGGCGTCCTCGCTGCTCGTGGTCCTCTCGTGTGCGTCTCTCCTGTGGATCCTCGGCAACGCGCAGATCACCGCTGCTGCGGCGATGCCTCCCGTTAGATGCACGAATGGATCCACTGTCGGCATGTGCACGATCAATAACGCGTACGGCGTCAACATGGACGGGAGGCCCTGCCAGTAAGTAAAGTTGGTTTCATCCTAATGTTTTATAGGTTTCATTTATTCATTCGTTTGCATGCGGCTTTCGTCAACTCCTGTCATCTCACCTCGTTTCATTATCGCTTCCTCAATTCCTTTCATCCCTCTAATCTTCTCACTCTTCAGGCTAGGCAGGGTGTTTTACCCGAGGACCGAGGACGAGTTGATCAGTGCCGTGGCCTACGCGAGCCAGAACAACCTTCAGGTCCGCCTCTCCCACCCACCCTACAAGCTTCCAATTGGCTTCATACAAAAGTCATGAAATATGGCTTTACTCAATTTACTATGTTCTGAAAGTATATTTTGGTTTATTTCATTATTTTCCTCGTGTGTACAGGTGAAGGTGGCGAGTGCAACGGTGCACACCATCCCCAAGTGGTTCTGCCCTGGCGGTAACAGCGGGGTTTCCATTATCACGCCTGATTATAACGGGATCTCCATTGACAGGGACGCTATGACGGCCACTGTGGATGCAGGAGTCATGGTGCGTTGGTCCATGCATGGTATGGTACGGTGTGGTATGGTATGGTTTGGTGCAAACCTTAATGTCATGTCATCTCACCTTCACATCTCCATTTCTCTACCAAATTCCATTTGTTCACACACCATGCTGCATCTCCACCACAAGCACTCTGGTTTTCCCTCCATCACTCAACCATCTTTCCCCTGCCCGCTTCCTCCCTCAACCTTTTTGTCCTCTCTATTGACTTCCCCGTTACGATCCCCAGCTGGATGATTTCTTTGCATTCCTGGCGGATCATAACCTCACCTTCCCCACCGCCCCCTACTGGGCAGGTAAGGTCGGGGTAGTCTATGCTACGGACAGGACTTCGATATCCTTTGACCATGCACCTGCTATGCTATCCAGGCACTGTACACTCTGTTGGGAGACTCCGATGGTCGACAGAGTGTCAGAACCGCCCTGATGACCCTCCATACAGCAGTGGCGATGGTCGACACTCTGACACTCTGCTGGAGAAGACTTTTGAGTTGACTCAAAAGTCACCTCGTTACAATGGCACACGGCCCTCCATACAGCAGTGGCGATGGTCGACACTCCGACACTCTGCTGGAGGACTCTGATGGTCTTCATTCAGTACTCATGCAGTGACGACCCGTCCCAGCCACACACCAGCCAGGTACGCTCCCTCCAGGGGCTGTGTGGAGGTTCGTGAAGAGTGCCGGGACTCTGTATTGGAAGATGTTTGACGGCAAGCCCTCTCTCTTGCTGCCCTTTCAAGACTTCCGTACTCAAGCTTCCCTTGCTTGCTACATCATTCACCCCCCTCCTCCACCCCTCTACCCCCGCTCCCCACCTATGTGCAGGATGTGACGGATGAGTATGAGCAGATCATAGGGAAGATGTTCAATGGCAAGCCCCATTGGGGAAAGAACAAGGACATTTCCTTCATTGACGTCCCCAGCAAGTACCCCAACCTCCCTCGCTTCCTCAAAGTCAGGTGCGGCTGGTCACAGGCTTCTATGTTATTGTACTGTAACGACATTTCGTTACTGGCTTCTTTGTTATCAAGGCAGCCCCGCGCCACATTTTACACTCCCGACACACTCTGCCACACTCTGCCACACTCTGCCACATTCTGGCACACTCTGGCACACTCTGGCACACTCTGGCACACACTTGTAACACATGCTCTCATGCTGTGGCATCACGCAGGGAGGCATTTGATCCAAGGGGTCTCTTCTTGAACGAGTGGGCCAAGCGTGTGCTGGGCCTGTCACAGCAGCCGGTGCAGGTGTATGGCGATCAGTGCGCCATGAGGGGCCTCTGCCACTGCGCTGCTGACGTGCACTGCAACCCTGCCCTCGGGTCTTATTGTAGGCGTGGGCTGATATACACGGATGCTACAGTGTGCAAAATAGAGTGAGCTATATTGTTCTATCCAGATTATGTGAAATTCAAATGGAATGTGGGCATATTAAAGAGGTTTTAAGTTAGGTACTAATGCACTGTATGTAGGCTCCCATGACAGTCTCTAACTTACAGTATAGATTTGAATAAAAAAAATGTTGGAAAATATAAATCAAATGCACCACACCAGCTGGATTAAAAACTAGTCAACATTCTCCTCACAAGGAAATGTGTGCCACAAGGATTGCCACCCGCCAGTAGAAGTGCAACTACTCCAGAGGAGGAAAAACAAAAACCAGAAAATGAAAAAGAGAAGGGAAAATAGCAAGCCCATCATGAATGCTTGCTTGGGCAAGAAAAGAGATCAAGCCCCCATGAAAAAAAAAAAAATCCAGAGCAGACTATGGGGCACTTGACTAAACCCTGACATGCTGTGCGCATGACAGGGCTAAAAACTCGCAGTGCTGCACGTGAGATCATCCATCAGCGGGAGCAACAGTGTTGCATGGGTCCATGGTAGGGATGGGCGTGCGCATGGAGACTCGGATTCTAGGCGAGGGAGAGAGGTGGAGGGCGAGGCTGTGCAGCTGAGAGGAGAAGGCGTGGGGCATGTCGGGCGACAGGGAAATCTGCATGAGAAAAGGAGTGGGGTGTGGAGAGGAAAAACGTGTGAGAATGACTAGGATCGTGAGAACTCTGAAAAACGAGAGTACGTGACAGGGAAAGATAAAGGTGGAGTGTGGCTCATGCCAGAAGGTCGCAACGAATGGTGACAGACACAAGGCACAGGCGACTCACCTCGAACTGGTGCAGCAGCAGCGCCACGACAGCACGCACAATCTTGAAGGAGAACCGCAGCCCCACGCACGACCTTGGTCCCCCTCCAAACATGAGGAAATGTTCCCCTTGCTCTGGCGGCACACACTCGTAGTCCCTACCTGGCAGCAACCCCTCTCTCCAATTCTCCCTCTCTCTTCCCTCTCCTTCCCTGTCTCCCTTCAGCTCTACATCTTCTCCCTTGTCTCCGTTGTCCCCCTTGTCTCCCTTGCCTCCCTTGCCTCCCTTTCTTTCCTTCCCGTCCCTCCCTCGCTTGCATTCCTTCCCTTCCTGTTCATCACTATTGCTCTTCTCCTGCTGCATTCTGAACCGAATGAAGCGCTCGGGGCGGAATTCAGAAGCGTCGTCGCCCCAAAACGAAGGGTCCGTCTGCAGGAGGTGCATGGGCAGCGCCAAAACGGTCCCAGAGGGAACCGAAAGAAACCGCGTGTCGTAAACAACCCCACTGCCCTGCACATCCCCACGAGAGGAGCCCCCGCTCGCAGAACGAAACCCTTCCTCGCTGATGCTTCCACACGTAGTTGACGACGAAACGGGCAGGCGTATATTCTCGGAGAGCGCGCATCTAGTGACAAGCGGCTGACACGGCATTAAGCGGGACGCCTCGTATATAACCGCGTTCAGATAACCCAGCTTCTGCAGACCCTCGTCAGTAGGCGACCCGCCATTCGCTACCGCGCGGATTTCCTGTACGACTTTGTCCTGTATATCGGGGTGAGCGGCGAGAGCGACGAGCACTCGCTCCAACAGTCCGGGAACCGAGAGGTGACCGTGAAGCATGAGGGAAGCAGCTTCGGCCAACGCTGTCGTCTCGTTATAAAGAGGTTGCCCATAACGGGACCGTTCCGACAGCATGGCCGAGAGAAAACCCTCGTGATGTGCTTCTGGCGCCCTGATTCGGTCCCTGAGTGAAATGGGGGGAGCGGCACCGGGACCAGCAGCAGCATCAACAGCAGAACCGCTGTTGACGCTGGAAACAAGACCAACACCACTAGAAGCAGCAGCAGCGGCAGCGATAGGGCTCTGTTCGGCTTCATTTCCCTCGCATCCGGAGTTTCCCACATTGAAGCCTCTGCTGCTGAAATTGGCAATGCCAACGTCGGGTAACCCGCACTTGACGCCCTCGCATTCGCCTGACATGAGTCTTCGCATAACTTCGCGAAACTCGTCGCAAACGCGGGAAAACTGCCAATACGACGGAAGCCAGAACGGCTCGACTGGAAACCGCGAAAAAACCTGCGCTCCTGCAGATATCTTCTCCAATAGAACCTGTAAGCGAGCGTGGATCCTCGACATAGGAAATCCGCTACCAAAAAGAGAACCGCCGAGTACACCAACGGCCATATCCCTAGCTACAACACCCACATCAATCTCGCCACCAGACCCGGCGACCGACGTCCACTGGCGTGACGTCATGTGAACAACGGTTGACGTCACCTCGTGAACCTGAAACTTGAGCGTGGTATGGCAGTGGTAATCTAAGAAAGACCTGCGAGCCCGCGGCTGCATGAGGGACGAGAAGCGAGTGGAATCGGCTCCGAGGCAGCGAGCCATGATTCGGCTGAAGGCAGGTGGTCGTTCAAGGGCTCGCATAAGCACTTTGCGAACCTGCGTAGGGTCGCGAATCGATATAAGCAGCTTCGTCGGGCTCATCCAGAGCCTTACAACGGAACCGTATTCCGAGTGAAGCCTTGCAATAAGGTCTGGAAAAGGAGAACACGAAAATGTGTTGTGATGTTAAAACGGTTACACGCCAGGATATGGTTCCCAAAAAAGAAACGCAAGAGACGAAGCGAATAATTGCGACGCTAGCAAGCGCGAGAAACGGAACGAATAATTGACACGATAAGAAAAGCGTACCAGTGATGCTTCCAGCTCCCAAGAGCTCTGCCGTGTTTCCCCAGAGGAAGTGACCCTTGGGACCTGGGAACTGGTTTCCCCGCCGCCATAAAGAGACGTAGGCGAGAAGCCAGTGCAGCAGCCATCCCGTGAAACCGATAAGAAGACACCAGATGAAAGCGTTGACTTGGCCAGGCGATAAGTTCACCTGCATAGGAGGAGGACGAAAAAATACAGATGGATTTGAATATACTGTTAGAACAGATTTTCAACTAAATTATTTCTACTCCTGGACGATGCAATTAAGACATATATAACAAAAAAACTCGCGAACGAAGCAATGCTCAGAGATTAGTTTAAAGACGTACATGTTTCCTAGGAGCCAATAGATAAGCGTTCACATCTACCGATACGTTAAGCGGATATGGCTGGAAAAAGTCTGCCTCGTTGAAAGACATTCTAACCTCCATCACCATGGCGTATGATTCAGGAGGGAAAAACCTACCATGGCAGGTTGAGCTAAAATAGCGAAGAGTTGAGCTCCCGGAGGAAACTCCTCGAAATTTTTTTATCGGGTTCCTCAAGACTGACTGGACGGTGGAACCAAAGCAGAAAGAAAACCAATCCCAACTCCCTAGAGTTTGGAAAATGACTTTACAGCACTGCCCTGTACGTTCCGCAGAGAAGACAGGGCAACTCTGAGCCGGTACACAAGAGTGAACTTTTCGGGAAGAACAAGTGAATAACCCGGTTACAAGAGTCTCCTTCTGTTCATCTGTGTCGAGGGGGTCACTACAGTGTGAAATGTGGAGCTCATTGGGTGATTTGTTCCCTTGGAAACGTCACGATTCACGAAAGACTTCGCTCATGGACCGCAAATTCACGCCCAGGTATCGGCATAGACACGCCCTGGTAATTCGATGGGTTGAGATGGCGGGACTGGGGTGATGCCGCGATCATTGCTGAGATCCTGTGATCTCGGGGGACAGGGGGAAGTGATTGTTACAGTGCGGGGCTTGTGTCGCAGAGCAGATGCGGAGTGAATTTTATATGGACGATCGTTGATATGTAGGGGCAGGAGTAAAAGTTCCAACAGTGACTGTCGTTGGGTAGAGCTGGGTCAAGCAAGAAAGTTGTAATTGCAGGAAGGTCGGTCGACCAACATTTTCCAGCCATATTGTTCTGGGCTGGGTGTGGGAGGAAGGGAATGGAGTGGGGTGGCATGACTGAAGTGGAGTGAATTTTGCAGCACGCCTAGGTTTATGCTTGACGCGTGGTGTGGGCTGCGGGCCAGTCAGGGAGGGAGTCAAAATTCGTTCATTCCAAGCACAGTTTGGTTGGCAGGTCCATGCTCCCACGTGCATCTTTCTGGAGAATCTGCGCCAATAATATTTCACCACACACGTGGTGCATGCATTGGTGAATCGAGGAAAATTCTTAGTAGTGTTCCCGTTATAATTTCATAGTCCGCCTCCCCAAAGGTTCGTATGAACTGTAGATACAAGAAAGCACCTGTGTACCCATTAGACAATGGGTATGTGTGCACATATAATCAAAATCCTATGTAGTAAAGCTATTATTGTACATGTGATTAAGGGTCTACAAAACTATGTACATATTAACGATGGTAAGTCAACGCTCCTCTACATCCTCCTCAGCGCCAATTTCACCCTCTTGCACAGCAAGCAGCGTATCGCTAACAAATGCTGCTCCGTCAGAACAAGGCGGTCTCCCTGTGAGCCTCTGTCTCTTGTGCATGGCCTCATCCCTCTCCACCACATTCTGAGTAATGGCATTGAGAGATCGAGGGCGACACAGAGAGAGGAGGGGCAGAGGGAAAACGAGATTGAGACGGGCAAGATCTCCCTGTGATCCTCTGACTCTTGTGCATGGCACCATCCCGCTCCACCACATTCTGAAGAAAAGAAGATTGGGAGATTGAGAGCAGCACGGAGAGGGTGGCGGAGAGAGACGGAGGGGAGGAGGGGAAAGAGAGTGAGAATGGTCAATGCTCACTGCTCACTGCTCGGTATAAGCTTGCTGCTCACTCTCACCTGTGCGGGTGTGAGCACGTGAATGGCAGCCACGTGGCGTGAAGGGTTGACCTTGTATGCGAAGCACTGGGAGCAGCCTGGGCGTGTTTGCACCTGGTATACAGCTCCTAGCCACACACCACACTGTCAGCACTGCTCTCACCTGTGCGGGTGTAATCTCGTGTATGGCAGCTATGTGGCGGAAAAGGTTGACTGGGAATCAGGCACCTAGCCACACACCACACTGTCAGCACTGCTCTCACCTGTTTGGGTGTAATCTCGTGTATGGCAGCCACATGCCTCGAAAGGTTGACTTTGTATGCGAAGCGCTGGGAGCAGCCTGGGAGTGAGTCAGCACTTGGTCTAAGGCCCACTGCTCTCACCTGTGCGGGTGTAATGTCGTGTATGGCAGCTATGTGGCGTGAAAGGTTGACTTTGTATGCGAAGCGCTGGGAGCAGCCTGGCACGGAGCAGGCAAAGGGGCGGTCCTTCTGATGGCATGCCCTGATGTGCGTCCTCAGGTTGCTGGGCTGCTCTGAGGAGGAGGGAGAGAGGTTATGTGGGAATTTAACTGAGTTCAGTGAAGGGTGAGCTTACAAAGGGGACGGTGGTGGTGGCATGCCCTGACGTGCATCCATCCACCTTACACGGTGAGACAAAGGGTGCTCCTTCAGGTGGCGCTCTAAGCGAGAGAAAGAGATGCGCTTGCAGCAGAGGGGAGAGGGACACACAGAGCTGAATGCCTTGCTGCACTCATCCACCTTGCACGGGTGAAATGGACGATGCTCCAACTCATCCTCCTTCAAGTGGCGCTTGAAGCGCGAGAAAGATATGCGCTTACCGAGCTGAAAGTCTTGCTGCACCCATCCACCTTGCATGAGTGGAACGAAGGTTGCTCCTTCAACTCATGCTCCTTTAGGTGGCGCTTGAAGCGGGAAAAAGAGATGCGCTTGTTGCACTGCGGGCACGGCAGGGAGCGGTGGTGCTGCTGAGTGTGTTGGTCCAAGGCAGAGAGGGACGGGAAGGCAGCGAAGCAGAAGCCACATATGGCCCCGTCTGCTGACTTTGGATGTGCCCGCTGTACCTTTTGAGCCGACTCAAAAGCGAAGCACAAGCCACATGTGGCCCCGTCTGCCCCCTCGCCTGTGCCCGCTGTACCTTCCCTTGCTGCAGCTGTTCCGTCCGATACCTCTGTTGTGCCCGCCGTGCCTTCCCCTGCTGCTGCTGCTGCTTCTGCTGCATCCTCGTGAATTGATGCTGACGTGTCTTCTTTTCCTTCACTTCCTGTGGACGTTCCTTCTCCTTCTGCTTGCCTTTCCTCGGTGCCTTCGCATGGTCCGGCCCTTGACTTGCCTTCTCCCGATGCCTCCAACTTCCTCTCCCTTGTCTTGCCATCTCTTTCCTTGCAATTTACCAGCTTCCCTGCCATCACCACATCTCTATCCTTGCCTCTCACCACATCAGCATCTCTTGCCATGTCCGTATCACACCACCTCCTGCGCTTCCAGCTCATCATCCCTGCCTGCTTGTACTTCTTTACCCTCACGGACGCCACTTCTGATGCCGTTGCTCCTTCGCCGACCTCCACCTTCCCCTGATCCCATCCCCCTACTTTTCCTTGCATCATTCCCCCCCCCGCTTCCCTCACGCCCTCCTCAATCCTCCCATCGGCACTCCCATCGGCACTCCCACCAGCCACACCACGAGCTCCCCCACCGTCCCCGCTCGTACCAACAGTCGCCATTGCACCAGCGTCGGTTGCAGCTACCTCACCAACAGCTTCTGCCACATCATCATGAGCACCTGCCACATCACCAACAGCCTTTGCCACATCAGCATCAGCCGCTGCCACATCGCCATCACCAGCTGCCACAACACCTCCAGTCTTCCCCACAGAAGCAGTGGCAGCAGCAGAGCACAAGCATATCGCATCCTGCAGCAGCAGCAACCCATTTCCCCCCATGTGCTTCCCCCTCAGGTGCCCCCTCAGGTGCTCCCCCAGGTGCTCTTCCCCCAGGTGCACCCCCCTCAGGTGTTCCCCCAGGTGCTGCTCTTGCCTTGCTAGTTGCTCCTCTCGTTGCCTCAGGTCCTCGTTCTGTTGTTTCAGGTGCTCCCTCTGTTGCCTCAGGTGCTCCTGCTGCCGCATCAGAAATTCCTCCTCCTCTTTCAGGAGAATCTCCTTCCGCATCAGGTGCTCCCTCATTGCCCTCAGGTGTTCCTTCTGTTGCTTCAGGTCAGTTTCCATCTCCATACCAGGCTGCTCCTTCTCCTTCAGGTGACTCTTCAGGTGATTCTCATCAGCATCCAGGTGCTTTTTCAGGTGCCTCTTCTGTTGCTGCAGGTGGCCGTGCATTCCTTGCACCGCCCCTTCTCTCCCATTGGTCGCAAGGATCTCTCTGTTATCCTCCACGTCAGCAGATTCTTGCCTGTCTGCTTCAGCAGTATGAAACAATTCAAAATCACACATTTGAGTGTCACACCGCTTCTCACCACTCTCCATCTCACACAAACCCTTTCCAGCCCCCTCCTCGCCCCCTCTCTTCTCCTGCTCGCCTTCTCGCCTCTCCACTTCCCCTCCTCTCGTTTCCTCCTCCGCTGCTATCCTCTCCTCCTCCCCTCCTCCCCTCTCATCTCCATCTCTCCTTTCCTCCTCCCTCTCCTCCACCCCTGCTCTCCACTCCTCCCTTCCCCTCTGCTCCTTCCCCTCCCCTCTCCGTTCCTCCTCCCTTCCTCTCCTCTCCTCCCCCCTTCCCATCCTCACCTCCACCCCTGCTCTACTCCCTCGTGTTGCTTCTGCTGTCTTCTCATGTGCCTTCTCTTGTGTTTTCTCCTGCGCTTCTTCCTGTGTTTTCTCCTGTATTGTTTCCCGTGCTTCCTGCGTTTTCTCCTGTACATTCTGCATTTTCTCCTGTGCTTCCTGCGTTTTCTCCTGTGCTTTCTGCGTTTTCTCCTGTGTTTTCTCCCCCACTCTCTCCTGTGCCTTCTGCTGCCCTCTTTTCTGTGCCTCCTCCTCCTTCTCCTGAAACTTATGCTCCGCACCGCCTCCCTTACTCTCTCTCTTCACCCTACGCAGCCGATCCCCAATCCCCCCCTCCTCCTCCTCCTCCTCCTGCTTCCCCTTGATCTCTCTGTTTACCCTATCCAGCCGGTCACGAATGCCCTCCTCCTCCCAGTGCTGCTCCCTCACGTGTCGCTGCATGCTCGCATGCAGGCTGAACGTCTGGGCGCACTGCGGGTGTGGGCAGGGGAACTGGGGAGAGGTAGGGGGGGAGGGTACACAAATGAGGGGAGGAGACAGAATGAGGGAACAGTCTCATGTGCTGCAACAGGACTCACGTGGTGCATGCGTGAGACTGCATGTGGCGCTGCAGGTGGTACATTCTCCCAAACAAGGTAACCCGTGAGTCTCTAACAAGACTGGGTCTCCAGCACCTATAACACTAGCCCAGACATGCATCATGGGGCAAGCATCTCAAACTGGGGTGGAGGGCCACTGACCCGGTCGGGAGCGTGCGACTCCATGTGGCGCTGCAGGTGGTACTTTCTCACCTTCTGAACAAGGTGATACGTGAATCGACTCACAAGATTAATGTGCCCGACTGACGCGGGCATTTGCCATTGGGCAGGCAGGCATCTCAGCGTGGGGATTGACCCGATGATAATAAACATGTGCCTGTCCTGCGATGTGTTTCATGGGGCAAGCATGAATGATGCACCGCAGGGAAGGCACTGACCCGGTTGGGGGCGTGCGACCGCATGTGGCGCTGCAGGTGGTACTTTCTGCCAAACGCTCTCCTGCAGTCCTCGTGCGGGCACACAAATGACTTCTGCTGTGAGGCAAGTGGTGGGGTGGGGCGGTGGGAAGAGGGGGTGGTGGACGGGGGCCTGTGAATGCTGCATGTACTGTCGTAGGTGGTACTTCCTCCGAATGCCCGCCGACAGTCCTCATGCGGGCACACAAATGACTTCTGCTGTGAGGCAAGTGGTGGGGTGGGGTAGCAGGGAGTGGTAGCAAGAATGAGAGAGCGAGAGGAAGGATCGCAGGGTAAGTGGGAAATGCCTTTCCAGTCCTCATGTGGACAGGACACACAGACGGCTTCTGCTGCAACCGTGTGGTGGTGGGGCGGTGGGAAGAGGGGGGTGAAGCAGCAGTGAAGCTTCAAGATGATGCAGTTGGTACTTTTTCCCCAACGCTCTTCTGCAGTCCTCGTGCGGGCACACAAATGACTTCTGCTGTGAGGCAAGTGGTGGGGTGGGGCGGTGGGAAGAGGGGTTGAAGGATAATGTTTTGAGACATCTTGAAATACAGCTGTTTTGGTGGACTGCAGCTGGTCTTCGAGGCACCTCAACAGAAGCAGAGGGGAAGTTTTGAGGCGTCTAAGGAAATCTGGGGCATGTGAGGAGAGTGGAGAGTAAGATAAGCCCACCTGGTTGGAGTGAGAGGCCATGTGCTGCCTCACATATGCCGGCCGGGTGAAAGCCATGCTGCACTGCCCACACTCATATCGCTTCTCCTTCTGCTTGTATCTCTTTCCCCCCCTGCCCTGCTCCCCTTCCTCCTCCTCATTCTCCTCCTCCTCACTCTCCTCCTCCCCCTCCTCTTCCCAATCCTTCTCTTTCTCCTCTTCTTCCTGATACTTGGCCCTCTTTCCCCCCCTCTTCTCCTTTACTCCCCCCTGCCTCTCCTTGTGCTTCCTCTTATTCCTCTTGCTCTTGTACTCGTGTATATCTTCCATCTTTACCTCCTCCACTTCCTCCTCCTCCTCATCCATCTTCCCACCTACATCTCTCTCATTGTCCCTCTCCTCGTGCTTTCTCCGTTGTTGTCTCCTCTTTCTGCCCACCTCTATTTCCCCCACCTTATCCTCCTCCTTTTCCTCTTCCTCCACCAACTCAATCTCCTCCGCCTCTTCCTCCTCCCTCTCCCCTCCCTCCTCTCCCTCCTCCTCATTCCCCCTCGCCTTCTCTTCTCCTCTTCGACTCCTCTTTCCCTCCCTTACAATTTTTTTCAAGCTCCCCTTCTCCCTTCCGCTCCTGTCCTTCTCTCCAACTCGCCCTCTTCTCACTCCGCCATCCCCTTTCCTTTCCCTTCTCTTCTCACCATCCCTAACCTCAAACCCCCTCTCTACAATCTCACACTCCTCCTCAGACTCATGCTCCGCACCCTTGCCTTCCCTCACCTCTCTAAAATCACCCACCTCGTCTCCTCCCTTTCCACCCTTCCCCTTTGATATCTCCGTTACTTCCATGACATCCTCATCCCCTCTCTTTTGACATTTCCCAAAGTCCACTCGTGCCTTACCACCCTCGCCTCCTGCCTTACCACCCTCGCCTCCTGCCTTACCACCCTCGCCTCCTGCCTTACCACCCTCGCCTCCTGCCTTACCACCCTCGCCTCTTGCCTTACCACCCTCGCCTCTTGCCTTACCACCCTCGCCTCTTGCCTTACCACCCTCGCCTCCTGCCTTACCACCTTCGCCTCCTCCCTTTCCATCCTTCCCCATTGATATCTCCGTCACTTCCACTACATCTTCATCCTCCCTCGCCTTGTTATCCTCATTATCTTCATGATTCTCATTATCCTCCTTATTCTCATTGTCCTCATTGTTCTCATTGTCCTCATTATTTTCATTATTCACATTGTCCTCATTCTTCTCGCTTTTCTCATTGTTATTTGTTTTCTTCCCATTCTCATTCTTTTTATTATTCTCATGATTCTCATGGTTCTCATTATTCTCTCTGCCACCACCACGCTCCACACCCTGTCCCTCATCCCCCCTTCCCTGTCTCCCCCGTTCATCCTGCTCCCTCACTTCGCCCCCCTCCCTCTCCCCTCCAACCACCCTCACTCCCCTCCCTTCGCCCCCCTCCCTCTCCCCTCCAACCTTCCTCACTCCCCTCCCTTCGCCCCCCTCCCTCACATTCCGCCCTTCCCTAACTTCCTTCTCCTCTCGCCTCTCCTCTCGCCTCCCCTTCTCCGCTCTCCCCTCCTCACCTCGCTCCTCACTCCCTGTTCTCCCCTCATTTCTCTCCATCCCCTCTCCCCCCACCTCCCCTTCCCCTGCCTCATCCTCCTCTTCTCCACCTACCGTTTCCCCCACCTCTCTTCCTGGTTTTCCCTCTAACTCCGCCTCCCCCACCTCCTCCCCCTTCTCCCCCTCCTCCCCCCCGCCCTCTCCCCCAAGCCCCACGCCAGACCACAGCATGTACTGCTCTAAAGGATCTATGTACCCTCCCAGAGGGTCCGCGCTCTCTTCTAAAGCATCCCCGTACCCATCCAAGGGACCTATACCAGCATTCAAATGATTCAGAGTACTTTCATCGCCTGCTTCTACTGCTTCTGCTGCTTTTCCCGCTTCTCCTGGCCGACCCTCTCTTGCCTTTCCTGCTGTTGCAGAGCCTGCTTTTCCCCTCTTATCTGCTTCTCCATCACTCTCGGCCTCTTTGCACCCCTGGCAATCTCTGCACCTCTTTTTCTCTGTACACTTTTTGCAGCTGCTAAGATTCGTGATTACATTTTCATGTGCTTCTGAGCCATTTGTACTCGATACAAGCTTCCCTACTTTGCCGTTCTCCTGCTCTTTTCCCCGCTGCTTCCCATTGCCGCTACTGATCCCTTTCCGTCCTTCTCTTCCCCCATTCTCCTCCTCCTCCTTCTCCCGTTCCTCTTCCCCATCTCCTTCCACCTCTTCTCCCCCCTCCTCCTCTTCCCTCTCCTCGTCGTCCTCCTCCTCCCATTCCCCTTCCTCCTCCCACTCCTCGCCCCATCCTCCCTCCTCCTCCCCTCTTCCCACATCCCCTCCCCCTCCCCTCCTCATCCCCGTTATAGACCACCCTATTTACTCCGCTACAGGGTCAACCCATCCATCTACACCTCCTCTTGACTCCTCTTCTTCATTTTCTTGCATATCAACACACAGCATCGCTGCTCCTGACCCTTCCTCTGTCGCCGTCGCCGCCGCCGCCGCCGCTGACGCCGCTGCTGCCGCCATCTCGTCTAGTTCCCCTGCTATCCCCCCTCCTCTCCGAGTTGACTTTTGAGTCGCCCCAAAAGCCGCTGCCACTGAGGCTGCTGCTGCCATTATCTCGACCCGTTCCCCTGCTCGCCCCCCTCCTCTCCCTACTGCCATGTCTTGTACTGCATCTGAACCAGCCCACTCTTTCCGCTCCTTTCTCTCTTCCGCATCTCCCACCCTCCTTTCACCTCCCTTCGCTCGCCCACCCTCCTCTCCCTCCGCTCGCGTCGCCCCTCTCCCCTCCGCGCGTTTCCCCCCCAGCCCCTCAGCTATTCCCTCCGCCAACCCCTCTATAAGCCCTTCCGTTATTCCCTCAGTCATTCCCTCTCCTACCCCATTCGCCCTGTCACCCATGCCCCCGCCCATGCCCCCACGCGTGCGTCCACCTCCCTTCTTCCCCCCTGCGCTTGCCTCTCCCCTTTCCTTTACCCCTCCTTTTCCCCGTTCGCTTCTTCCTCTCTCCCTTTCCTCTGCTCTAACCCTAATCACACTATCTTTTCCTTTACTCTCCCCTTTCACCCCGCTAACGTTTTTCCTGACCAGCCCATAACTTTTCGTCCCTGCCCGCGGGGACCGTTCGTCCTCGACTGACGTCATGCTGTCGTCATCTGACAATTCGTCCTCGTCGCTAACGACAAACCCCTTGCTGCTGCAGATGGAACCTTCCGAGCTGCTTCGGGAGCTGCTGCTGCCACTGCTCCCGCTGCCGCGACTGCTACTGCTGCTTTCACTGTCAATAGCCGCTACAGCCTTTCTAGCAACGTCACCGTCCTTTTTACCCGCGCTGCTCGTTCCGCCGGCTTCCGCGTTATTCCTTCCGCCAGCCACCGCACTTTTCTTCCCGCGCGCCTCCGCTCCGCTAACCTGCGCCAGTCGCGTGGACCTCCGCGTGCTCCGCGGCGGAAGCAAACCGCCCACTTCATCTTCCGCGGATGTCATTTCGCATATAACGGCGCCGCACGCGCGACCTGACTGTCTGCGCCTCACGCACGACCTATTTCTGCCAATGCCTATGCGTTGTCCGCACAAAAGTCCGCGGCTGGGGAAGCAGAAAGGGATCACTGCTATTTGGTTCGACTAACAACCAGACCGCTGGTTGTGTGCGTTCCAGTTCGGTTGAGGAGCTCTGCGTTACCCCAACATCCTTGAGTTTGTTGATACGTTACAGCGTATAGACAAATATATACACAAGTCAGCCTGTTGAGCTGACTCTTCAAACTACACACAAATCATAAAAACTCAAACATGTTAGAAAGGAAGGATACTCTAGGATACACTCTCAGGGTGCATTCTACACATTTTGTCGATCAGGCGACACTAGGCGACCAGGCGAAATGTACAGTTGTGCGCATGTGATTGGGCTTAGCAAATGGCTGTACACCCGTTTCTTCTTTTGCCTAGCAAGGGTGTAATTTCGACGCGCAGGATTTTTCCCGCACGAAATTGACAATGTGGGCTGTCCAGGTGCATTGACATTCCGAACCGCGTGCGAACTTTTAAAAATGACGGGGCATCGAGCAACTCGTCCGCGACTTTAGCGCGTTTCACGCTAACCAATGAAAAATACACTAAAAGTCGCAGTAGGACGACGCGAATTTGTGACACAATACAGTTTATGCTGTTTTTGAGCGTCACAAAGAATTTGAGACACGAATGTCTATATGAGAATGCGCCCTCACTTATGTATGGGTCTTCCTTTCGCTCACCAGTCACATTACAAAACATCGTGGGTAAATCCCTTGTTTTATTTTACTAAATTTCATCTTTGTCCTTGCTTCGACAATGGCTGACTCCTCCTTACGCCGTACTTCTCGTGGTGATGATTCTTGGTCTGCCGTTCAACACCTAAGACCGTCTCTCTCGAAAACTGCTCCATGCTCTGTTACATCAACTCCAATTCCTCCTTCCTCTGGACTGAGATCTTATGGGATGTCAGGAACGTCAATTGATGACCTCTTCTCGTCGCCTGAACAAGTTCCTTCCAGTCGAGCTTCTTCTATACCATCCATGCTTGCGACAAAGCCGCAGGAAGCTGGGACTATCAAATCTCTCATTTCAGAGGGCCTTGGAGATCTTCATGAATCAGGAGGAGGCTTCCCGTCGTTTAACCTTCGCACTCGAAACCCAGCAGGTGCAGAAGGCAAAGCGGCCCCAACTTGCCTCTAAATCCCAGCTTCGCATCCAATCCAAGTCTCGCCCTTTATGAGTGAAATTTACCAAACCAGCACAACTATATACCTGAAGAAATCAATTATAGCACAACCTCCTGTACAAAATGAAGTCAAATGGGAGCGTCCTTCTCTACATAGTGCATCTGTTATTCAGCACATGCATCAATTGTTCTCTTCTTAACATCCACTCCCTACAACCCTGCCCATCCTTTGAAACTACTTTCTCCATCCTCTCTCCATCCTATCTCCATCTTCACCACGCCCCTTCCCTCTCCTCATCCTTCACACACTCCCCTTCCTCCCCCTCCTCCCCCTCCTCCCCCTCCTCCCCTTCCTCCCCCTCCTCTCCCTCCTCCCCCTCCGCCTTCTCCCCCTCCTCTCACCACCCCTCTTCCCCGTTCTCCATCCCTCACCACCCCCCTTACCTTCTCTCCTCAACATTCACCACGCCCGTCCCTCTCCCTCCATCCTCCACCACCCTCCCTCCCTCCCCATCCCTCACCGACGTTCAACGCATCGATCCTTCCGAATCCGAGTGTGCCTCACTTGAAGCTCCTGGTGCTGCCTTTTACGCTTCCCGTCGTTTGCCTGAGCAATCACGTGCACGTTCTGCTGCTTCAATTGCTTTTCCTGCTGCTTCCAGTAAAACTTCAGCTGCTCCTCCTGCTGCCTCCTGTTGAATTTCCGCTGCTCTTCCTGCTGCCTCCAGTAGAACTCCTGCTGCTCCTTGTGTTGCTTCATGAGGTACTCATTCAGGTATATATCCTGTCGCTCTAGGTGTACCCTCTGCTGCCTCAGGTTGCCTCGGCGGCCTCTCTTCCTATCCAGGTATCTCTTCTGCTCCCTCGGGTGGCCTTTCAGGTGGCTTCTCCCGCAGCCAGCCCCTTCCCTCTCAACACCTCCTCCTGCATGCCTTTTCCCTTTCTGCCCCTCCTGCAAGCTTGTGTGCTCCTCTTGCTCAGCTGCAACATCCTCCTCCTCTCCGGCACGCTCATTCACCCCCTCACTCCCCACACTGCCACCCCCCCTGGGACGGAGGGAAGAGGTTTCTCCCTCCTCCTCTCCCTCCTCTCCCTCCTCCTCTCCCTCCTCCTCTCCGTATTCCTCTTCCTCCTCCTCTCCCTCCTCCTCTCCCTCCTCCTCTCCCTCGTCCTCTCCCTCGTCCTCTCCCTCCTCCTCTCCCTCCTCCTCTCCCTCCAATTCTCCCTCCTCTTTTCCCTTTTCTCCGGCAACCGCGCTACCCACACCTTGCAGCAGCATCGATGCCCTCCCCACACAACCCTCATTCCCAACAAGGGATTCTGCTGCTCCTCCCCCTGTCGCCCTCCCTCCTCCAACCGAACTGCCCACCCCTTGCAGCGGCACCACTGCCCTTCCCACTCCGGCCTCCCCTGAAGAAAGGAAAACGGGTGTTCCCTCCTTCTCATACCTCTCCCCCCCACTCCTCCACTTTCCTCCCCTCTCCTCCCCTCTCCGACCCTCTTTCCCCATCACAAAACTCGTTTTCTTCTCACCTTCCTGCCTCCGAGCCTCTTCCCCGTGCAATGATGGTGTTACAGCGCCCATGCCCGTTGCGAGCGATTCGCGCGCGATGACAGCCGCGCCGATGCCCGTTGCAACGCCCACAACGTCCTGCGACTCCGTCATCCCGTCAGCACCCTCCGCGACTCCATCATCCCGTCAGCAACCTTCCGCGACTCCGTCATCCCGTTAACACCCTCCCGCGATTCCATCACCGAATCTCTCTCCCGTCTCACGGATTGCCGCCCTCTCGCTAGCACCCTATTAGACGTGATTTTGTTTAACGAGGTGAGTTGTGATTCGACTACCACTCTGCTACAGAGAAACTATCTCCCCGCAAAAAAGGCGTGTTTCTGACGGAGCGGTGCTCGCCTCGTTAATATCACACACGCTCGGTATAAACGCCTCCGCCGCTCTGTACCGGATATTCTCTGGTGCGACACATCCAGCACCGAGCCGTGCATCAAACATGACCAAGTAGTAACATATATTATTCTCCCTCTCCCTCTTGCACTCTAGAGGGAAAATTTCCTGGTGACGAGAAAGAAACGGGACGCTCGACGGGTTGTCGTCAGTTGAGATTTACGAGGCGAAGGGAGGTTGCAAATTGCGTCTGCGGCAATGCCCAGCGTGACAGGAGGACACGCACCATTCAGTGTGTTTGGGGGCGGGCCAAAATTACCGCGACATTGGCTGCCCCGCGATGGAAAGTGCAGATGAACAAAACTGGAAATGCATACTTTAAGGAACATGCTTCTGTACACCATATCAAGTTTCTGGAAAGGGGATCGAGGAAACGTGAATTCGGAACATTCACTATTGGTTTGTTGTAGGATTTTTTTTTATGCAATTACATACACAAGACATATACATACACGTACCGCTCATTAGGTTCATTTTATTATGCTTGGGTGGCATGGCGCACGTGGCGAGGGTGCTTCTCCTGGTTGCCTCGTTTCAGCTGCTTCAGCCCATGCGGTAGAGCCAGCATGAGGGCATAGCGATCAAACCCATGGGCGTGGAGCCAGCATTGACATTGACTCTCAAACGAACAAGCACCCTGAAGACATTGACCTTCAACTACCATATGCCAGTAGATTATATTGAACCACTTAGATATGCTGAGATGGCGCATATGACGGTGGTGCGTCTCCCACTTTTCCCCTTCTTCTCCCTCTGTCAGTCACACCCCAAACCCCACCTCCCCCTCTCTTCATCCTTCACCCCCCCTCCCTCCTATCACTTCATCATTCACCGGCCTGTCTCCTGTTCCTCTGTTCACCATCCTCACTCTCCATGCTTCCCCTCAATCTCTCTTTGTTCCTCCACCCCTCACAATCCCCCCTTCCCTTCTCTCACCACCCCACCGCCTCTATCTCATCCTTCACCACGCATACTCCTCTCCCTCCATCCTCCACCACCTTCCCTCCCTCCCCACCACTCATGGCAACCGCTCTACCTCTCTCTCCACCATCCTCCACCGTCCTCCCCCTCACCGCACCACTCACCACCACTTTTCTTCGCAAACCACGAGGTTTTACAGAGCAACTAACCAGGCGATCCCACCGCATCCGCGTGCGTCTCACCTGAAGCTCCAGATTTTCCCTCTTACGCTTCAGGTGGATTTCCTGATGGTTCAGGTTCTCATTCTGTTGCTTCAGGTGCTCCTCCTGCTGCCTGACGTGTAACTCTTGCTGCTCCTTCTGTTCCCTTATGCGATCACCCTGCTGCATCAGATGTTCTTTCCGTTGCTTCAGGTGTTCCTCCAGGTGTCTCAGGTGGAATTCTTCCTCTTTCAGGAGCATCTCCCTCTGTTTCAGGTTGAACTCCTGCTGCTCGTTCTGTTGCTTCAGGTAATCCCCCTGCTGTCTCAGGAGATCCTTCTGTTGCTTCAGGTGTTCTTCCTGCCACTTTAAGTGAATCTCTTCCTCGTTCAGGAGCATCTCCTTTCGCCTCCTCAGGTGCTCCTTCTCTGTTGCCTTCAGGTGTTTCCTCAGCTTGCATGGACGACCCCTCCTCCCCACGAAATCACGCACCTTTGTGCTCAAATATCTCTTCTGCTGCGTCAGGTGACTCTCCAGGTGTTTTTTCCTGCCACCTCCTCCCTTCCATCCATGGCCTCTCTTTCCCTCTCTCCACATCCTCCTCCCTCTTCCTCCTCCTCTATTCGCACTTCCTCGTCCCTCTCCCCTCCTCCCCTTTCCTCTTCCTTCTCCCCTCCCCCCCTTTCCTCTGCCCTCACCCCTCCTCCCCTAACCTCTTCCTTCTCCCCTCCCCCCCTTTCCTCTGCCCTCACCCCTCCTCCCCTTTCCTCAGCCATCTGCCCTCCCCCTCTTCCCTCTCCCTCACCCCCCCCTTCCTCTGCTTCTCCTCCTCCCTCTTCCTGTTCCCTCCAATAATCCTCGCCTCCTCCACATAACCCTTCCGCCCCTTCTTCCACCAACCGCCAACAGCCCCCCACATCCCCATCTTTCCCCACTTCCGCCCCCTTCCCCACTTCCGCCCCCTTCCCCACTTCCGCCCCCTTCCCCACTTCCGCCCCCTTCCCCACTCCACCTTGACCATCCACGTCACACCCTTCCTCCTCCTCACCCTCACACCGATTGTGCTGCTTCTTGTGTCCCCATCCCTCCTCCACCACAGCTGCCCTCCCCCTGAAGCTGCATCATCACTACCACCACACTGCTCTCTCTGAGAGGGAGGAAAAGGGATGCTCCCTCCTCTTCGTCCCTCTCCTCCCTGCTCCTTCCCTCCTCTTCCCTCTCCTTCCCCCTCCTTTCCTCTTCTCCACTCACAAAAATTGCTTGCCTCTCCCTTCCATGGTCCCCTTCCTCTCTTGAAGCGTCCTCGTTACTTTCCTCCTCTCTCCTCTCCTCTTCGTCCCTCTCCTCTCCGCACCTTTCCTCCTCGTTCCTCTCCTTTCCCCTCTTGATCTCTCCTAACCTTCTCTCCCACCTCCTTCACTCCTCATCCACCTCCTCCCCCTTTTCTCCATCTTCTTCCTCCTCCTCCTCCTCCTCCTCCTCCTCCTCCTCCTCCTCCTCCTCCTCCTCCTCCTCCTCCTCCCACCTTCCCTCGTCTCCACTCACATCATCAATCTCCTTCTTCGCTCCACACCTCCGCACGGCTCCCCCACGCGCCTTCTTCCCCTTCTTCCCCTTCTCTCCCTCTTTCTCCCTCTCCTGCCCTCTCTTTCCCTCTTTCCTCCTCACATCATCACCCTCCTCGCTTCCATGTTTCCCCACTGCTGCCCCATGCCCCCTCATCCCCTTCCTCCCTCCATGCGCACTCTTTACCCCGCTCCCACTGCCCCCACTCCCCCCATCCCCGCCAGACACACCAGTAACCCCGCCCCCACTCCCCCCATCCCCGCCAGACACACCAGTAACCCCGCCCCCACTCCCCCCATCCCCGCCAGACACACCAGTAACCCCGCCCCCACTCCCCCCATCCCCGCCAGACACACCAGTAACCCCGCCCCCACTCCCCCCATCCCCGCCAGACACACCAGTAACCCCGCCCCCACTCCCCCCATCCCCAGAATGTTGGGCCCTTGCATGCCGCACCCCACCGCTGGTCCCCGTCTCTTCTCCATGCTGCTTCCTTAGATGTTGTATCATTTCGTCTCGGCGCTTGAAGGTTCGATCACAATGGGGATGAGAGCAGGGGTGCTGGTGGTTGGGGGGGAAGAGGGAGGGAAAGAAAACAGGTAGAGGAGAAGCAGATTGCATCTATTAGACCACACTACTGCTGAAGTGGCTATCACGTGGCTATTAGACCGCACTACTGCTTCCTACCATGCTGCTTTCTTAGACGCTGTATCGGCGCATGAAGGTTTGAGGGCAGTGGGGATGGGAGCATGTGTGCTGGTGATTGGGTGGAGGATGCAGAAGGGAAAGAAAACAGGTAGAACGAGGCGAGAGAGGGCGGATAGAGTGGGAAAAGGCAATACAGACAGGAAGGGATGAGGAGAAGGGGAAGAGGAAAAAGAAGAGGACGAGGACGGACTGTGAGGAGAGAAATTGGAGGACTGAGGTAGGGGAACGGAAAGGGGGAGAGGGGGGAAGAGAGAAGGGAGAGGGTGGAAGTGGGGGACGAAAATGGGAGAGAGGAAAGCTCACCCGGGGAGCATTGGGGTTGTGAATATGAAGGTGCCGCTTTAACCGGCCGGTGAATGCAAATGCCATTCGGCAATTTTCATGCGGACACACGAACTAATGCAGTGGAGGGGGTCAAAGGGAGCGAGGAGAAAAGGCGGTGTGAAGGTGTGTGAGAAAGGGAGTGAGTGGATGAGTGAGCATGTGAGCAAGTGATGGAGTGAGTGAGTGAGGGAGAGGGTGAGTGACGGAGTGAGTGAATGATGGGGTGAAGGAGTGAGCGAGGAGCGAGCAAGTGAGTGAGTGAGGAGCGCACACCTGCTTCAAATGGGTGGCCATGTGTTTTGTGAACGTCGCTCTGTGAGCAAATGTCATTTCGCACTCTTGACATGTGTACAACTCCTCATCCTCCTTCTCCCTCTCCTTCTCCTCCCTCTCCTTTTTCTTCCCCTTTGGACTCCCCTTCTTCACATCACCTGCCCCCCTCTCTCCCTCCTTTTCCCTCTCCAGGAGGGGAAAGAGGGAATGGGAGGGAGGGAAGGAGGAAAAGGATGACGAGGGAGTGAAGAACAGAAAAATAGGGACGAGAAAGGACGAAGATGGGAAAAGAATGTGGAAGGGGAGGAGGGGAAAGAGGGAGAGGAAATGGGAAGAAGATGCAAGGAGGAAGGCGGGAGAGGGAAAAAGAGGGGAGGGGAAGGGAGGGGATGGGGGGGGGAAGGAGGAGGGAAGAGAGCTCACCTGGGGAGTATCGGGGCAGTGAGTGAGAAGGTGCCTTGATAACAGGTAGTTGAATGCAAATGCCCTTTGGCAATTGTCATGCGGACACACGAACTGCAGTAGTAGAAGGGACGATAAGGTAGAGAGGGGACGACAGGAGGTGAGGAAAACGGGAGTTTTTTCCAAATTGACTCAAAGGAAACGAGGGGAAGACGGGGAAAGGGGGAGAGCTGGTGGCACATGAGACATGTACTGTGAACTTGTGAGAGACAGGGAGAGGGTGAGTGAGTGAGGGAGCGAGGGAGTGAGGGAGAGAAGGAGTGAGTAAGGGAGGGAGCGAGTGTGTGAGCGAGCGAGCCAGTTAGGGATTGAGGGAGTGCATGCGTGAGTGAGTGAGTGAGTGAGTGAGGGAGGGAGGAAGCGAGTGAGTGAATGACTGAGTGGGGGAAGCACACCTGCTTTGAGTGGGTGGCCATTAAATTCTTTCCTGTAGCAAAAGCCTTCCCACACTCCTCACACGCGTGGAACTTCACATGCCCCCCGTCCTCCCTCCCCCTCTTCTTCATCTCACCCTCCCCCATATCCTTCCCCTTCGCATTACCCTCCTCCCTCTCCTTCCCCTTCCCTTTTGGCTTTATACTCCCCACTTCCGCAGCATCTTTACTCGCTTCCGCCCCCACCCGCGGAACCCCTTCCGCTTGCGCGACTTCAAGCGGAACCTCCGCGTCTGTCCCCCGTGCCGGAACGAGCGGAACGGGCGGAAGCTCCGCAACATTCCGCTGCGCCCGACGAGGCGGAAACCGCCGGACGTAGCACCGTAAAAGTGGCGGGCCATTCCGCGGATTCGCACGTCCAAGAATCACGCCGATGCCCGTTGCGCTTACAGGGCCCTCAAAACCCGTTGCAAGACGCATGACATTTCGCGAATCCATCGTATAACCTGGCAGGGATACTCCGACTTTCGAGTCCCAAGGCCCAAGTCGCAAGGGGCAAGACGAATTCGGTCTTTTCGGTATAGGTAAAGAACTACGCCAATACCCGCTGCAAGACGCATGACATCCGCCTAATCCATTATATAATCCAGCAGGAACGACTCTCGTTCTCTATCTAGCGAAGAAGCTAGCGAGCACTCGACGAGACCTGAATAATTTCTAGAAGTAACTACCAAACCGAATGGTAGAAGCCATCTTCTACCACTCTACTAGTCGTGAAACTTCCCCCCCGAATGCACTGAGTGTGCAGCGCGTAACGTAGACCCGCTTGATACACACCCGCGCGTCTACTGGCCTCGTAGCTTTGTGAAGGACTCCCCACAAGCGCAGTATAGCCGCCCCCCGCCCCCGTGTATAGTAAACTCTATTCATTCGCAAGGTAAAGAAACTGGGCGGCGGGAAACTGAGCGACGGAAAACTGGGCGACTGGAAACTGGGCGACGGTAAAGAAATTCGCACGGCGATGGGAAAGAGACGCAAAATGCGCACGAAGCAGAATTCGCGCCCCTTCAGTGCAGAAGGGAATTTCATGCGTGGGTTGAGGGAGCAATTGGGGCTGAACAGTTACGGTTGCGACATTGGTTGCCCCGCGATATTACTTGGGAGCAGCACCTGTGCATGCTTCATGTTAAAAGGAACATTAACAACGGAACTGTATAGGAAAGCAGGTCATTTGGAAGGGGGAGGAGGGCTCTGGTTATCAGACCAAATTGGTCTGATGGTCTGATTTTCAGACCTAAATTTTTACTTTCATCTGATTTCTAAGACAATTATTTTTATTTCGTCTTATCCATAAGACTAGTTATTTTAGCTCGTCTGATTTTTCAGAGCAGGAGTTCTACTTCATCTGAAATTTCAGATAGCGGGTTTTTTTTTCGTCTGACACCACCCCCCATTCTTCCCCCCCGCCCCCCACCCTGCCATTCTCCCCACCACTCTCCTTCCCGAATCCCTCACTCCTCTACACCAGCCCAACCACCCCCTCAAGCCCTTCGTTCTTGTCCAAGCCCTACTCCTACCCTTCTCCCCGTGAAATCCGTGGCCCTTTCTCCCCGCCCAGCCCCCTTCCCCATATCCATCCCCCGTATCTCCCAGCCCAGCCCCCTTCCCCAGAAGTCCCTCCGTCCCCCCTGGTCCCTCGCATCGCATGCATCTCGCATCTACAGTATATTTATGTACGGTCCCTCTTGCCACGTGCATCCTGTCAGAATAACTGTGCAGGAATGATTGGATTAGCAAGAGTAGGACTCAGGGTCAGGAACGTGCGGAAGAGAGGACGCGGGAGGCTCAGGCAGGACAACACGCTGTGGAACAGAAGAAAGACGAAGTGCCATACCGTGAGTGCCTGGGACAGCAGGAGGACGAGGACGGGCGACACGACGAGCACGAACAGGTGTGGAAGCACGATTCTCAGGCTCACGACGCTCAGTCAGGGACTCAGTCACCTCAGTGGGAGGAGCAGGCGCAGGCATCGGGGAGCCAGGCAGTAGCTATGGCTGAGACTGGTCTGTCGGTGCACACAGGAGGGGTAGAGGGAGGCCAGTGGAAGACGGGAGACCAAGAACCTGGCGAAGGACCGAGTCAGGCGGCGGCAGGGACGACTGCGGCCGCGGGTAGAAAAACGGTCTGCGCAGGGCAGTACCAGCAGCTCCAGCTCCTCCAGCACCAGCAGTACCTCCAGCACCTCCAGTGCCAGTAGCTCCAGTAGCACCTCCAGCACCTCCAGCACTAGCAGCACCACCTGCTCCGGCAGCCCCAGCACCTCTAGTACGAGCACCTCCATGACCAGCAGCTCTAGCACCTCCAGCACCAGCAGTACCACCTGCTCTGGCAGCTCCAGCACCTCCAGCACCAGCAGTACCTCCAGTACCTCCACTACCAGCAGCTCCAGTAGCACCTCCAGCACGAACAGCACCACTAGCTCCGGCAGCTCCAACACCTCCAGTACGAGCACCTCCAGGACCAGCAGCTCCAGCAGCTCCAGTACCTCCAGCTCCAGCACCTCCAGCACCAGCAGCACCTCCAGCACCTCCAGCACCAGCAGCACCTCCAGCACCAGCTGTACCCCCAGGTCTAGTAGGTCCAGTACCTCCAGCACCAGTAGCACCTCTAGGACTAGTAGCTTCGGCACCTCCAGCACCAGCAGCACCTCTAGTACCTCCAGCACCAGTAGCACCTCCAGCACGAGGACGAGCAAGGGGAGCAAGGGGAGAAAAGGAGCAAGGGGAGCAAGGAAACTTCACCGCTGCATTGGGTTTGTGCACAAGAAGGTGCCTCGTCAGACGGCAATTATTGGCAAAGGCCCTGTAGCAACCCTCACGCGGGCACACGAACGACCTCTGCTGCAAAAAGGGGGCATGAGAGGGCAATCGTGGGAAGAGGGGCAGGCGGTTAGAGGGGAAAGTGAGTTGAAGCCCTTGTGGCAACCAGCCCACGGGCACACAAACGACCTCTGCTGCAGAACGGGCACTCGTGGGCAGAGGGGCAGGCGGTTAGAGGGGAAAGTGACTTGAAGGCCTTGTGACAACCCACACGCGGGCGCACAAACGACCTCTGCTGCAGAACGGGCAAAGGGGCAGGCGGTAAGAGGGGTAGGCGGTAAGAGGGGTAGGCGGTAAGAGGGGTAGGCGGTAAGAGGGGTAGGCGGTAAGAGGGGCAGGCGGTGAGTGAGTGAGTGAGGAAAACGCACCTACTTCGAGCAGCATAGCGCCTAAACCTGTGTTGAATAGGTGCCCAGGTGCTTGCCTAACGTTGCCCACCGACCAAAAGCCTTCCCACATTCTTTGCACACATAGCGCTTCTCACGCCCCGCCTCCCCTATCTCCTCCTCCCTCTCCCTCTCCTCCTCCCTCTCCCTCTCCTCCTCCCTCTCCCTCTGCTTCTTCTTCCCCTTCCCCCTCTCATTCTCCATAGTTTCTTTCCCCCAGTCTCTCCCTTTTTCCCCCTCCCTTCCCTCCCTCATCAAGCCTCCCTTCTCCTTCCCACTCTCACCGGATAATTCGTTAATATCCCGCCACCTATTGTCCCCTATTGGAACTTCCACCACATCATCATCCTCCTCTTCTTCCTCACACTCTCTCCCACACTCCTCCTCACTCTCCCTCCCACACTCCCCCACACACTCCAATCCACACTCCAACCTACACTCCCCCACACACACCACTTCATACTCCTCCCCATCTTCATTTACCTCTTCCCCCTCCCCGACCTCTTGCCCCTCCCCGACCTCTTCCCCCTTCCCGACCTCTTCCCCCATCCCCACATCTTGCCCTTCAACCACCTCTTTCCCCCCCGCATGTGACCCTTCCGCCCATCCTCTTCCTCCCTCTGACCCGCAAACCCCTATGCAGCCATCCCCCATCCCACCACCGACCGCCCCCATCACCACTCCCTCTGTCTCACCACCCCATATCCCCTCCCCGGCGCGCTTCCCCCCGCCCTCCCCACCACCCTCCTCGCGGCATCCCCCTGCTTCCGCCACATCCCGCTTCATCCCTCCCCCCCCCTGCTCATCCTTAACCGCTTCTCCCCCGACCCGCGGAACCCGTTCCGCTTGCGGGGCTTCAAGAAAAAGCTCCGTGTCATTTCCCTTTGCAGGAACGGGCGGCACAGGTGGAACCGGCGGAACCGCCGCGTCATCTTGCCGCTGCGCGGGAACAGGCGGGCCCTCCGTGCCATTCCACTGCGCGAGACAAGGCGGAAGCTGCAGGGAGTAGAACCGGAAAGGCGGCGGACCCTCCGGCAAATTCGCGCCTTCAAATGACCCGCCGATACGCGTTACAAGGTGCATGGAATCTTGTACCGTTACCCGCAAGTCCATTACCAGCCTCTCTCCAGCACCCTACTAGACGTTAATTCTCTCCCGTGGCTTGGCGCGGTACCGACGGCGCAATGCGGAGCGGCGCAAGCACACCCACAACGGCGCCCCGCGTTCGCAGCTTGGCGCGGTACCGACGGGGCAATGCGGACCGACGCAGTGTGCTCTATACTGTCGCACCCACAACGCCGAGATGTCCGGCTTTCTAGTTATAATGCACGTCGGGGTGTGTCAAAATGTTATAATGCTTACATTGTTTAGGCTGTAGTGGGGTAGCCCATAAGGGGTACAACCCAATTAGGGTTAGTACTTGTACCCAACTCATTCATAGTTTATTCATTCTCGTTCAGTATTCTGACAGACTCTCCTCCTCGTGGTACGTCTCCCTCCTCTTCACCTCCAACTTTAGCTTGCGCATTTGAAGCGTGGGTTTGCTCGGTACGTGGAGTGCTTGCATGTGACTGTCCACGGGTGGATGGGTCTTGTACTTGACTTGACATGTTGAACTTGACTCTTAATGACGCTTGAAGTGTTGGTGGTGTCCTTGCGATCATGTTCTCCAGGTGCTCATGTTGAGCCATAATGGCCTCTTCAAACGCCGCATATCATGCGTCAACTTCCTCATCAAATCGAGCCATGCCGTTGATTCAGAAAGTTGCTCGTACATATGCTAACTTGCTGATATCATTGTCAAACGTTGTTGATAGTAAGTTCCTGACCGAATTTTGGCAGCATGCCCCCTAGAGTAGCTCTGATACCATGCTAGTAAGGCATAGTGCCGTCGTAGCGGAAGCCTTGATTGTATAACAGAACAGAACTGGAAGGTTTGTAGTGGAATGGATTGGATGATGAAAGCACACAACAGGATTTTTATCCATGCAGCTATCCTGCCAAACTCTAGCCATCCCCACCAATAATTGTACCTCCAATAATGGTACCTCCAATAATTCTACCCTAATAGCCCTGGACTCCAATAAAGTAGCCCCTACAATAATTGCACAATTATTGTAGGGTCTAGAGGATTATATAGAGGATTACACTAAAACCTAACAGCACACAACTTCTCTTATGCTTTATATTTCCAACAGAGGGATTGTATCCCTCGCATGTCCCCTTCAAGTTGCTTCGGCCCAGGGCAGAGCCGATCACTTCTCCCTCCACCCACCACTTCTCTCTTCATCCTTCACCATCCCCCTCCACTCCCTCCATCTTTCACCCCAACCACTCTTCAAACTCATCTTTCACCACCCTCCTTCCTCTCCACCCGTCTACCCCTCCTCTCCCTCCTAATTCTGCCAATGCCACCCCCTCCCCATCCCTCTCCTCAACCCCTCTCCCCAAACCGCAAGCACAATCACAACAGCAACTCAGGTGTTCCTTCCGAATCCGCCTGTGTCTCACCTGAAGCTCCAGGTGCTGCCTCTTACGCTTCAGGTGCTCCTCCTGCTGCCTCAGGTGCTCTTTCTGTCGCTTCAGGTGTTCTTCCACCTGTCTCAGGTGGGTTTCTTCCTCCTTCAGGAGCTTCTCCTCCTGCCTCGGGTGCTCCTTCTCTGTTGCCTTCAGGTGTTTTCTCAGCTTGCACTGGCACCCTCTCCTCCCTACAAAATGGTGCACCTTTGTGCCCAAGTATCTCTTCTTCCTCAGGTGATTCTCCAAGTGGTTTTCCCTGCAGCCACCTCCCTTCCCCTCACCACAATCTCCTTCAACACACATTCTCTTTCTCATCGCCCCTCCCATTCTAACCATCCCCCTTCCACAAGCCTCACTTGCTGCCGCATGCTCGTGGCTCGTCCACGGCTCTTGAACGCGTCGACTTGACTCCAAAGAAACCTTGTTCGTTGCATCTTCCTCTTCAGCATGCCGCTTCCTCTTCCATCCCTCCTGCACGCCTCTCTGCGTCTCTTGCTTAGCCCATCTTCCTCCCTCTTCCTCCTCTGCTCCCTCCTCTGCTCCCTCCTCTTCCCCCTCCTCTTCTCCCTCTTCTGCTCCCTTCTCTTCCGCCTCGTCTTCTTCCTCCTCGTCTCCCTCCTCTTCTCCCTCCTCTGCTCCCTTCTCTCCTCCCCATTCTGCTCCGTCCTCTTCTCCCTCCTCTGCTCCCACCTCTACTCCCACCTTTGCTCCCACCTCTGCTCCCTCCTCAGCTCCCTCCTCTTCTCTCTCCTCTTCTCCCTCATCTGCTCCCTTATCTGCTTCCCCCTCTCCTTTCACTTTTGCTCCCTCCTCTGCTCCCACCTCTGCTCCCACCTCTGCTCTCTCCTCTGCCCCCTCCTCTGTTCCCTCCTCTGCTCCCTGCTCTGCTGCTCCCTCCTCTCCTCCCTCCTCTTCTCCTTCCTCTCCTCCCACCTCTGTTCCCTCCTCTCCTCCCACCTCTGCTCCCTCCTCTCCTCCCTCCCTTGCTCCCTCCTCTTCTTCCTCCTCTTCTCCCTCCACTCCCTCCTCTGCTTTCACCTCTGCTCCCTCCTCTGCTCTCTCCTCTGCTCCTTCATCTGAACCCTCCATTTCTCCCTCCTCTTCTCAACCAACCCTCCCTCCTCCGAAATCGTTGCCCTTCCCATAATTCTGCACCACTGCTCTTCCCACGTGGCCCTCCTTTGCAGGCAACGACTGAGTTGCTGCTCCCCGCTCTGATGCTCCCTGCTCTGATGCTCCCTGCTCTGATGCTACTTGCTCTGATGCTCCCTACTCTGATGCTACCTGCTCTGATGCTCCCTGCTCTGATGCTCCCTGCTCTGATGCTACCTGCTCTGATGCTCCCTGCTCTGATGCTCCCTTCTCTGATGCTACATGCTCTGATGCTCCCAGCTCTGATGCTCACTGCTCTGATGCTACCTGCTCTGATGCTACCTGCTCTGATGCTCCCTGCTCTGATGCTCCCTGCTCTGATGCTCCCTGCTCTGATGCTCCCTGCTCTGATGCTCCCTGCTCTGATGCTAACTGCTCTGATGCTCCCTGCTCTAATGCTACCTGCTCTGATGCTCCCTGCTCTAATGCTCCCTGCTCTGATGCTACTGGAATTGTATGTTATAGCATGCCAACACTTGTGACTGTACACCAATTGTGGTGTATAGTGCGTGCAGTCTTTGGGTGTACACCAACTGTACACCAAGTGTACACCAACTTTGGGTGTAGTCCTGTATTGTGGGGTGCCAATCCAACCCAATTGTGGTGGAGCCCCCAAATGCAACCCACTTGGCCTCAGGTTGCCTCACTTCCCAAAAGTGAGGCCAACCCAACCCAAGTGGGCCTGAGGTTGCTTCGCTTCCCACAAAGTGTGGTCAACCCAATCTTTCTTCCCCAAGCTTCGCATCCAACTTATGTATGCTTGTTCTTCCTCTAATGAAACTAATGATTCACTTTACAATCTTCACATGGTAAAGAGCTAAGTTCTTCCTAAGGCCTTAACCTCCCCCCTCCAGTTTTTTCCCAAGGGTCCACCATCCGCTTCCCTCCCGACGCGCCGTCGTCCCCCTCCCTCCTTCCCCATCTCGGCGCTTTCCCGCCGCGGTCTCTTAGCCACCGCCCGTGCCCTTCCGCCGCGTCCCGCGGATTTTGCCGCCCGCGCCTTCCCGCCCGCGGATTTCACCGCCGCGACCGCTACGTCGCCGCCCTCTGATCTCGCCGCCGCGACCCTTTCGTTGTCGCCTGCCCTCCCAGCCGCCGCGACCTTTTTTCATCGCCGCCTGGCCCTCCCAGCCGCCGCGACCTTTCTCGTCGCCGCCTGCCCTCCCAGCCGCCGCGACCACGCCGTCGCCGCCTGGCCCTTCCGCCGCCGCGACCTTCTCGTCGCCGGCTGCCCGTCCCGCCGCCGCGACTTCCCGTCGCCGCCTGCACATTCCCCCGCCGCAGCTACGTCCTCGCCGCCTGTGGTACCCGCCGCCACGACTGCACGTCGCCGCCTGCACGTCCACCCGCCGCGACTGCCCCGTCGTCGCCTACACGTCCCGCCGCCGCGACTGCACCGCCGTCGCCCGCAATTTCCGCCGCCGTGACTGCACCCCTGTCGCCCGCGATTTTCGCGGCCGCGACTGCACCGTCGCCGCCTCCAAATTCCCTCCGCCGCGACTTCGCTTCGCCGCCTGCGCATCCCGCCACCGCGACTCCCCCCTCCCTCCCTCCCGTGACCCACCATCACCGCCCGCGGCTTCCGCCGCCGCGACCACATCGTCGCCGCTTGCTCATCCCGTCATCGTGACCCCGTCGCCCCCTGCGCATTCCGCCGCCACTACACCCTCCCCTCCCCCCCCCCCCTCACCACTCTCCCCCCGCCATTTCAACCGCCGCAGCAGCAGCAGCAGCAGCGGCAGCAGCGGAGCAGTGGCAGCAGCGGCAGCAGCGGTAGCAGCGGCAGCAGCGGCAGCAGCGGCAGCAGCGGCAGCAATGGCAGTAGCGGCATCAGCGGCAGCAGCGGCAGCCGCACCCGTGACTGCATCCTCCTTCCCCCCCCTCTCCCTCCTCCTCTCCCTCTCCTCTCTCCTCGCAGCAGCGGCAGCAGCAGCAGCAGTGGCAGCAGCGGCAGCAACGGCAGCAACGGCAGCAGCGGCAGCAGCGGCAGCAACGGCAGCAGCGGCATCAGCGGCAGCCGCACCCGTGACTGCATCCTCCTCCCCCCCCCCCCCCCCCCCCCCCCCCTCTCCCTCCTCTCCCTCTCCCCTCTCCTCGCAGCAGCGGCAGCCGCACCCGTGACTGCATCCTCCTTTCCCCCCCTCCCCCCCTCTCCCTCCTCCTCTCCCTCTCCCCTCTCCTCGACAGCAGTAGCAGCAGCGGCGGCAGCAGCGGCGGCAGCAACGGCGGCAGCAGCGGCGGCAGCAGCAGCAACAGCCAGAGGGGTCCAGCAGCAGCGGCAGCCGACGGAGTGCACCAGCTCCAGCAGCAGCGCCCTCCCCCCCCCCCCCTGGCCGCCGCAGGTCCACCCGCCGTCGCCTCCCCCCTTGACCGGCGCGGGTCCACCCACCTTCGTCTCCTCCTTGGCCACCGCGGGTCCACCCGCCGCCGCCCATCATGGCTACCATCCCTCCTGCTCCTCTCCCCCCTCCCATCGACGCCTCCTCGGTCGACAAGCTACAGCTTGCTGCAGATCGCTCCGCCATCAACTGGCACTCGTTCGTCGGCAGCATTCACCGCGTCCTTCAGGATGCCTTCGTCGGACCCTACTGTGTCTTTGACGTTCTCCTCCGCCGTCCGCAGGCTCTCCAGCCGACCGCCTGGGCCGTTGCCGACAACCGTGCCTGCACCATCCTCCTCGGTGCACTCCCCGACGCCCTCATGAGTCGCTTCCAAGCTCGCGAGATGCACGCTCACTTGATTTGGACCGAGCTCCAGTCTATGTTCGAGCGTCGCGACATCAGCTCCGTCGGCGTTCTCTTCCAGGAGTACTTCTCCATTACCCTTGCCACCTGCGACGGCGCAGTCGACTACGTGGGGCGCATGCAGGAGGTAGCCGATCGCCTTGCTGCTTGCCAGGCTGCCTTTTCAGAGCCCCTGCAGATTCATCGTCTGCTCTTCAACCTCACGCCGGACTACGAGTCCCGTCTTCACGCCTTCACCGAGGCAAACCCCTTGGCTGGCTTCATTGAGGTGACTCAGTGGATCATTGACACGGAGGTCAAGCTCTGCACCCCCATTGTCAACCTCACCACCACTCATTCCTCCTCCACCTCCCTCAATGCCACGCAGCCGCGCAACCAGGGTGGTCGCAACGGCGGCGGAGGGGGTCGTGGAGGGGGCGGAGGTGGTGGTCGGGGTGGTGTCGGTGGTGGCGGTGGCGGCCGTGGTGGTGGTGGTGGTGGTGGTGGTGGTGGTGGTGGTGGTGGTGGTGGTGGTGGTGGTGGTGGTGGTGGTGGTGGTGGTGGTGGTGGTGGTGGTGGTGGTGGTGGTGGTCCTGGTGGTGGTGGTCCTGGTGGTGGTCCTGGTGGTCCCACTCGTGGAGGTTCCTCTGTTGCCGGTGGAGCTGTGAGCCGTGGTGGTCGCCTTGGGACTCTCCCCCCCTGCACGTACGTTCGCCGTCATGGTCCCCACGCCGGCACGCCGTGTGGTCAGACCAACCACCCCCCTGCCACATGCTTCAAGGCGCTTGATGACACCTGGTTTGACCTCAGCAACACTGGTACCCCTCCTCGCTGGAACAGTGTTACCCTTCGCCCCTCCCTCGTGAACATTCAGACCCTCCCCTCCTTCCTCCCCGCTCACCTCCGCCTGCTCACCCCCTCCCCCCCTTCCCAGCTGCAGCAGTTTCAGCAGCATCAGCAGTACTTCCCGCAGCAGCAGGAGCCGCAGCAGCCGCAGCTTTTCCAGCCGCAGCAGCCACCACAGCAGCAGTTCTTCCAGCAGCAGCAGCCGCCGCAGTACCTTCAGCCGCAGTGGCAGCAGCAGCCAATGACCTTCGGCACAGCGGCCATGGCCGCTCATGCCTCCCTTGCTCCCCCCCCCTGGGGTTCCATCCCCTCTGCCCCCCCAAGTGACCCTGACTCTCAGGGCAGTTTCCTTGGTCATGTTGCTGTTGCACCATTCGTCGCTTCCATGTATCCCTCTGCTATCAATGAGACGACTTTCCAGTACCCCGTGTCACCCCCCCCTCCTTCCTCCCCCACCTTGGACTTTGTCCTTGACAGTGGGGCCACAGATTCTGCATTCAAAGACGCTGGCACCCTCACCCCCCTCCCACTTCCCACCCAGGTTCATGGTGCTGACTCCAGCTTCTCCATCCCATGCACTCACCTCTCCACCCTCCCTTGCACCGCTTTCCCCTCCGGTAGGGTCTCAGGTCTCCACATCCCTACCCTTCGCAACAACCTTCTCTCTCACCGAGAGCTCCAAGGTGTCGGTATTACCACCATTTACCCTGGTTTTGCTACTTACTGTGATCTCTACCACACAGCGTCTGGTCGCTTCCTTCTGCGCATTCCCCTTTGCCCTCACACTCGCCTTTACACGCTCCGCACACCCTGTCCCTCGTTCTGTCATATTACCACTCGTGCTGGTACTTCCACCAGTCCTCCTCCCCCTCTCCCTCCCCCTCAGGTATCCCCCTCCCCTACTTCACCCCCTTCCTCCTCCCTCCCCACCTCTTCTCCCACCCCATCCCCCTCCTCCTCTATTGCCCTCTCCCACCCAGCAGTCATTTTGCATCACAGACTCGGCCATCCCAACTTCGCCGCACTTCGCACCACTGTCACCTCTCGCCTCCTTCAGAGCCTCCCTCCCACCTTACCTCCCCTCCTCTCCTGCTCCCCCATGCCCATCGTGCATTCATGGCAAACTCAAGCAGTCCCCCCATCACAGCCATCCCACCTTTGCTGCCGCTCCCATTGACCTTGTCCACATGGATCTCTGGGGTTCCTATCCCACCTGCTCCCGTCAGGGGCACCGGTACATGCTCGTCCTCGTCGACGACCACAGTCGGTACTCCACTGTCTTTTTCCTTCACACCAAGGACCAGGTGCCGGCTGTGGTCATCAACTGGGCTGAGCAGTGCCGCACTCACTTCAAACGCCCCATTGGCCGCCTTCACTCTGACGGTGGGGGTGAGTTCATCAACAACACCCTCGCCACCTTCTGCAAAACTCATGGCATTCAGCAAACCTCCACCCTCCCCCACTCCCCTCAGCAAAATGGCATTGCTGAGAGTCGCATCCGCGAAATCACCAAAATTGCCCGTTGCCTCATTGAGACTCTCCGCCACCCTTCCTCACTCTCCGCGCCATTCCTATTGGGACTCTCTGCCAGGCGAGGCGGAAGCCGCCGCGTGTAGCACCGCAGAGGCGGCGGGCCGTTCCGCGGATTCACACCGATGCCCGTTACTTTCTTAGGCGCCTCAGTAGCGGCTGCAAGGCCCATTACATTATCATTATCATCATCATCCTCCTCATCCTGTCTCGCTCCACACTCCCCTCCACACTCCCCACCACGCCCCCCTCCACACTCCCCCTCACACTCCCTCACACACTCCTCTACCCTCTGCCACACAACCCCCCTCAAACAATCCCCTACCCACTCCACCTCAACCACATCCTCATCCTCATCTCCCTCCACCCCTCCTACACCTCCCTCCACCCCTCCCACATCAGCCTCTCCCCCCTCCCCCACCTCTTCCCTCCCAGCATGTAACCCGCCAGCCCACCCCATTCCTTCCTCTGACCCGCAAAACCCTTTCCCACCATCCCCCATGCGACCATCACCAACCATCATTTCTCCCTCCGTCCCGCCACCCCATAACCCCCCTGATTCCTCCGCACCCCTTCCCTTTTTCCTCTCCCCCTGCCCAGTCCCCCCCGCTTCCCTATGCTCATATATGGCCGCTGCTCCCCCAACCCGCGGAACCCCTTCCGCACGCGCGCCTTTACAGGCAGCCTTCGCACCATTCCCCCGCGCAGGAACAAGCGGAACGGGCGGAACGAGCGGAACGGGCGGAACGAGCGGCACGAGCGGAACAGGCGCAACTTCTGCGCCATTCCGCTGCGCCAGACAAGGAGGAAGCCGCGGGCGGTGGCACCATAGAGGCGGCGCGCCGTTCCGCGTATTCGCAAGTCCTAAAATTACGCCGATGCCCGTAGCAAGGCCCATGACATCATCCCGCGAGGCCATCTCGATTGTGCCGCCCTCTCTCACGAACATGCCTCCCGTCCCACGGTTGTGATTTAAACCTCTCGCTAGTCCTCTCACACCCTACTAGTCGTGATTTTAATTTCTGGTGACTTGTGAGTCGACTACCTGCTGCTACACAGAAAACTTTCCCGAAAAAAAAAAAAATGTGCGTCATACATTTTTTCAAATGTCCCCGCAAAAAGCATGTTAGTGACAGTTGCGCGGCCCGATATTACCACACACGCGCGGTTTAATCGCCTCAGCGGGCTGTACCGAACCTCCCCTTGTGCGACACACTGCTGGCAGCCGCGCGCGTGCAATAAACAGGATCCCGTCAACCCGGATATCCCCCTCCCCCTTAACACTCTAGCGGAAAAGCATTCGCACGCTGACGGGAAAGAAACCGGACCGTCGACGCCTTCCGGATGAGAGATACCGTACGAGGCGACGCGGCGCGGCAAAGTAGCGCACGCAGTGAAGGTTGTGTGGTGCCCTCCTGTCAACCATGAAAGGAGTTTCTTGAGCGTGGGTGCAATTGGGGGCGAATAATGACTGCTGCGACATTGGCTGCCCCCGCGGAAAATAGAGCTCGTGCTAATGAACATGTGAAAACGTTTCTGTATAACCTAGTACAGTATGTTTCTAAAAGGGGAGGGAGCCAAGTGAGGTGAAGTACCGTACATCGCATACTCCGCTGGCTTGGATAAGGAACGTTCAATATTCTTTTCGGATGTGGTTTCTGGCACATGCAGAGCAAGAACTCCAAGTGCTCATTTGTATTACTTTGTCATGCTAGGCCACATGTAGCGGGGTGCTTATCCCGCTTGTCCCGTTTCAGCTGCTTCAGCCCATGTGGTAGAGCTGGCACGAGGGCACAGCTCTCAGACTCTCTCAAGACCACGTCAACCCAGAAACCATCACTTGGCTATGCCAGGGTGGGGCGTGTGGCGTGGGTGTTTCTCCCGCTTGTCGCCTTTCAGCTGCTTCAAGCCATGGGGAAGAGCAGGCATGAGGGCAGCCAGACACTCTGAAACCGCGTTGGGGTTGCCTGGCAGGTTGAGGATCTGAAGGGGGAATGATGGGTGGGTGGGTGGGTGGGTGGGGCCAAGGGGAGCGATAAAGCGTAAGAGGCGCCTGTATTAGCAAGATAGGTGGGTGGGGCTGACACTAGGTAATAAGGGGCGGTTGTGAAGGCGTGCGGGCAGCCGGACATTCTGAAACTGTGTTGGAGCTGCCTGGCAGGTTCCCCAATTCACGGTGAATCATGCATCCATGCACCGCATCCATGCACCGCACCCATGCACCCATGCACTCATGCCCCCATGCACTCATGCACCCATGCACCCATGCACCCATGCTGTCATGCCATCTCACCAGAGTGGAGCCTCTAATGCCAGCAGCCATGCGCGAGAGCATGGCAAAGGGCGTGATCTGCAGGGGGAAACGAGAGGAGAAAGCACAGGAGAGAGAACGGACAAGGGTGCATGAGAGAGGGAGGTGACACAGGGAAAGGACTTGTCAACCTATATATTGTCGCGGCCCAACTCCCTCCCTCCCCTACCTTCCTTCCCCGGTCCCCTCTTCAGAAGAAAACCGGAAATGAAAAAAACAACAACAAAAACAGAAAACAAATACCTACCCTGAGGCTCTCCTGCAGCATGGCATGGGTGAGGCCCGGTGCAGAGCGGTGGAAGAGCAGCGCACAAGCCTCAGGAGTGACATCCCTAGGGGAGAACCCCGTGCCTCCTGTCGTTATAATCACATCCACTGCTGCCACACGCACTGCCTCAGGAGCTGACGCAAAGATTTCTCCCCCATCCGCCCATTCCTTGACCTGCGCTGCTATCTTGTCTGGGTCATCTGGGACCACTGCTGTCGCCACCACTGCTGCTGCTGGCAGAAGAGATTGTACTGCCTGGACTGCCCTGGGACCACTGGGTGAGATGAGAAGTGGGAGGGAGGGAGACACGGGGAGACAGGGTATGAGAGGAATCAGTAACTCGGATGACGCAGAGATCTCTTCCCCATCCGCCTACGCCTTGACCTGCGCTGCTATCTTGTCTGGGTCATCTGGCACCACTGCTGTCGCCACCACCGCTGCTGCTGGCAGCAGCGACTGCACTGCCTGGACTGCCCTGGGGCCACTGAGAGAAGCGGGAGGGAGGAGGCAGGAGCAAGAGGGACTCTGAAGCTGTGTTGACCTGGACTGGAAGGTTGAGGATGTGAGGGGGTGCAATGTGGTTAGGGCAAAGGGAACGGGATGAAGGAACTTTTTGTTGCGTTCTCACTCACCTGGCGTCTGCTGCTAGTCCTGCCGCCACTGTGTCACTGACAGTCAGGATTGCCACTCGCACACCCGCACCCACAGTGGAGGCAGCAGGAGCGGCAGAAGAGGCAGCAACAGTAGTATAAGCAGGAGCGGAAGCAGCACCAGCGTTTTGCGTACGCCCATGCCCTTGCCCATGCCCTTGCCCACGCCCACGCCCATGACTGCACCCACATCCATGCTTCTCCCCCTCCTCTCCCTCCCCTCCCCCTCTCACAGCCTCCCCTCCTCCTGTCCTCCCCACTGCCACCGCAGGGACCGCCAGGCACGCAGCAGCATCAGGCAGCAGCAGCGCGGAGACCAGCGAGCCTGCAGGGAGGGAGCCCTGCGCCTGGGGTAGCTCAAGCAGGCAGTGCGCTGAGCGCATGGAGAGGAGCCGGCTGCTGATCTGCCTCCCTGTGCTGTCCGCTATGAACCCAGACGCCGCGGCACCAGAGGACGAAGGAGCGGCAGCAGCAGCACTAGACCTTTGAGAATTCTCAAAAGCAGCACTAGACCCAGCAGAATTCTCAAAAGCAGCACTAGACCCAGCAGAATTCTCAAAAGCAGCACTAGACCCAGCAGAATTCTCAAAAGCAGCACTAGACCCAGCAGAATTCTCAAAAGCAGCACTAGACCCAGCAGAATTCTCAAAAGCAGCACTAGACCCAGCAGAAGAGCCAAGCGAAGCAGCAGAGGAGGCAAGGGCAGCAGGGACGTTGGGTTCCCAGCGGAGGGATGCTCGGTGGTACTCAGGGCGGTCAGTGTCGAGGCGGAGAGCAGAGGAGATGTGGGCCTGCACCCTGGGGGTTGGGGGGATGGGATGGGTGCAATGCGGTGAAAAGGCCGAATGCCCGGCAGCACAAACAGGTTCAACGGCTTTTGAGACATCTCAAGAGTTGTTTCCCTCCCCCATGCCCCATTACACTCCCCCTCGCCTCCTTCCCCCCCCCTCTCCCCCCTCCCCCTCCATTCCGCGCCTTACCTATGCAGCAGAGGTTGACGCCACCCCCCCATCTGGCGTATAGCGGGCAGCACAAACAGGTTGAAGCAAACCATGCAGCTGACCGGATTTCCGGGCAGCCCAAAAATTATCGTTCGGTGCGGCTGGGCGGCGCCATCCGTCTTATCTGAGGGGGTTTCGATGGTTGCGAAAGTGAGCGGTTTTCCTGGCTTCATGTGTACCTGATAAAGAGGAGAGGGGAGGGACGAGGGGAGAGAGAGGAGGGACGAGGGGAGAGAGAGGAGGGAGGGGAGAATGAGGAGGGAAGGTAGGATAGGTAGGGAAGGAGGGAGAGGAGAAAAAGTAACAAGGGAGGGAAGAAAGGGAAGGAGGGAATGTGAGTAAACATCACCCACTCACCCGCCCAAAATGAACGGTCCCCAGCTTCTCAAGTAATTGCTTGACAAAGTCCCTATCGCCCATGGACACTCCTCCAGACGCCACCACCACATCCGCCCCCGCTGCCAGTGCCCTCACTGCTCCGTGCCAGCCCTCAAACCACCCACTCACCAGGCAAAAGAGCACCCACTCACCCGCCCAAAGTGCACGGTCCCAAGCCTCTCCAGCAGCGGCTTGACAAAGTCCCTATCGCCCATGGACACTCCTCCAGACGCCACCACCACATCTTCTCTCACTGCTAGTGCCCTCACTGCCCCCCCTGCCATGCCAGCAGCAGTACAACAAATCACTCACCCGGCCAAAGTGAACAGTCCCAAGCCTTTCCAGCAGCGGCTTGACAAAGTCCCTATCGCCCATGGACACTCCTCCAGACGCCACCACCACATCCGCCCTCGCTGCTAGTGCTCTCTGAAACGCTGCTGCCACCGCTTCCTCTGTATCTAGTGTTATCCCCAGATCCATAGGGGCTGGACAGCTGGCCCCTGGTGCTGCTGATGCTGCTGCTCCTATGTGTTGCCGCACAGCAGCAAGTAGCATGGGTCTATTGGCGTCCCTTATCTGTCACGCGGTGAGGAAAAAGGGAGGAGGAGAAGGAGAAGATGATGAGAGGAGGTGGTGGGGCGGTGCAGTGTGGGGCATATGTATGATATGAACGAACTCCACGTGGGGTCTATGAGCTAGGATGATCCAGTTCCCACGCGTGCCATGCCGCTGTGCAGGGCGACTCACCATGCCGCGAGGGAGAGTGGCGCTGGCATGCTGTGCAGGGTCTATGAGCTCGTCTCCCGTGGAGAGAACTGCCACCAGCGGCTGCCGGTGCACCTGAGAGGCGTGGAAGGGGCACGAAAAGACAAGAACACTTTTGAAACCTGACATAGTGTCTCGGATTTTTAAGGGCCAATGAGCTCATCACCCATGGAGAGGACGGCCACCAGTGGCTGCCGCCGGTGCACCTGAGGGCGTGAAATGGGGAACGAGAAGAGAGATTCTTCACGGCGCGGCTCGGCTCAGTGCTTCAGACGAGGTCAGAGCAAAGTCAAGTTAGAAGCAAGAGTGCAAGGTTGAGATGGTTCTCAAAATCCAGACGGAACAGCACGTGGTGAGTAGTCAGCTCAGCTTACGTGCACGTGTGCTGCCCCCACTGTTGCCAGCAGTCCTATTTCCGCTGGCCCAAGACGCTCCCCTGCCTGCAGCACCACTGTACCCGCTGCCAGATCCGAGCCCTGGACAGGTGCAAAGACACGGGGGGCAGAATGTGGCAGCATGCCTTGTAAGTGGGGTGGGGCCTAGAGCTGGTGTGTTGTGGTGGTGGTGGTGGTGGTGGTGGTGGTGGTGGTGGTGGTGGTGGTGGTGGTGGTGGTGGTGGTGGTGGTGGTGGTGGTGGTGGTGGTGGTGGTGGTGGTGGTGGTGGTGGTGGTGGTGGTGGTGGTGGTGGTGGTGGTGGCAGTGGCGTGAGTGGGTGCGTGTGGATGTGTGTCTATGCGTGTGGATGTGTGTCTATGCGTGTGGATGTGTGTCTATGCGTGTGGATGTGTGTCTATCCGTGTGGATGTGTGTCTATGCGTGTGGATGTGTGTCTATGCGTGTGGATGTGTGTCTATGCGTGTGGATGTGTGTCTATGCGTGTGGATGTGTGTCTATCCGTGTGGATGTGTGTCTATGCGTGTGGATGTGTGTCTATGCGTGTGGATGTGTGTCTATGCGTGTGGATGTGTGTCTATGCGTGTGGATGTGTGTCTATGCGCGTAGGCGCACGTGTTGGTGGTGGTGCAAGGGCATGCATGCAAGGAAGCGACAGTGAGAATCGATAACTGGAATGCCAAGCAATCAGGCGATATCTACATTCTCACGTTCCACATCTCTATACATTGTGAGGGGTTCAACGCACGCACCACAGGGCGGATGTCTTGCCCCACTGTAGCGCCCTTCACTATAGTCACACGCCTCTGGCCGCTGGAGGAGTCAGCAGGAAGCGTATCCTCCACTTGAATCACAGCGTCTGCACCCTGGGGAACCGGGCCTGAGAGGGGGGAGGGAGTCAGTCAGCCAGACACGTCTCAGAACTTGGTGTGCTTCAATAGGCAATGGAGAATACACACCTGATGCGGAAAACATTCCCATAAGAAATGCGCACCTCCCGTGGTGATGTAAGCGACTGTGCCAGGTGTCACCACCACATTGGCTGCATCATCCCCGGCACGCGCCTCGGCAATGATGGGGTACTCGCCCGGCCCGTCCGCTGCCACCACAGCGTAGCCATCCTGGCAGCAAGACAGACAAGACACAGGAAGAACGCGGGAACTTTCGAGTCGATTCAAAATGATGCGGTACCCGCCCGGCCCGTCTGATGCCACCACAGCATAGCCATCCTGGCCTCATGAATGGGGAATTACCAAGAAAAACAACAAACAGATTACCAAGACACAGATGCATTCAGAATTGAACCATATCCATCTGGACCGTCCAATGCCACCGCAACATAGGCATCCTGTGATTACAAAGAAGATCCGACGAAGGAGATCCATTTAAAATCGACTCAAGCTTCACCTTGCTCCGAATTCCACCTCAGCATCGCCAGCCGGGCGTCAGAAAGGGAGGATTCAGAAGGAGACGCACTTCGCGTCGACACAAGGTGTTTGACTGGCCTTTTCAATGCCTGGCTCCTCCAGTGCCACCACATTGTGGCCATGCTTACAAGCGGAAACTCTATTTCTGAAGAATTACGTAAAAGGATTTGTTACGAAATGTATCATAGTGAATTCCACAAGACATATTGTCGGGTTTATAAAGAACCCCATAATCAATTTCGCTTTCGCTTTGGCATTAGAGCTCTCATCAAGAAGGAAACAGCAGAGCAATTCAGTGACGCCAAGATTGAGCATGGGATGGAAATTCCAATTCTATTGCCTTATCTTGCCTTGATTGAGGCGGGAAACGGCGGCATCGGCTCGGGAGCAATGACATCTTTCGCGAGTACACTTCCTAACGAATTGTTCAGAGAAGCCGTAACCGCTGGAAGCGGTTTCGCGTGCTCGAGAACAAGCTTCTGAGCCTCGTCAACTGACACCATCGGATACGCGGAACTAGGAGCGCCTTCTACGGCGGGAATTCCGCATGAGTGGTGAGCGTCATCACCATGAGGAGCCATGCTGAGTCAATATGGCTTTGGCAATACCAAGGACTGAGGGGTTAGGCGGCTTTATTACATCAGACATCAATAACTCCTGTAGCATTGATAACTGAAGCCTCCAGCTCATTATTCTTGTGGTGCTGCTCGGTGCTGCCTGGTGCTGTCTGGTAGCGAGGGTGATTGTTTGCACCAAAAATGTGACTTTCGATTGGCTGTTTGAGTATCACGTGGACAAATCGAGGGTGCGTGGCAGCTGAATGTCATCAAAGTTTCGCTCGTTGGAATCACATTCTGTCAGAAAAAGTGTTCGCTTACAACTGTGGTGTACTGTACTGTAACAAAGCGTCGTGCGACATGACTCTCTGTACAATACAATGCCCCAATAGCACCCACCCGCACCTGGCAAACCAGGAAACCCCGCCCGCAGTTATCCACGCGGGCGGATCATCGATCCGCGCGCATGGCGCAAACTGGCGGCTGGAGCTAGACAGGCTCCGCGCGGCACACAACAAGAAGTGGCACCATGGAGATCTGCGCGCGAATTCAGTCAATTGGCACACACTCCAGTGCGTTTCAACCGTCGGATTCAGATCTGGACATCTATTCCCAGGCCACTGCACAAACCACCTGGGAGTTCTCCAGGAACAGCAAATTCACCACCATGGTGGTGTCGCGCTCAAGCACGGTTGTTGTCAATCATGCCTTGTGTCAGATTTCATCACCGATGTATACACCTTCTAGAAAAATAATGAACCGTGAGGAATACCTTCTTAGCTTTCCACTGATCCCATCATCATCAGCAGCATTCACCTAGATCATCCAGATCCATAGCCTGAATCTGCAGCCTAAGCTCATTCCCTTGTCTTACTTTCCCTCGCTTATCCTCACGAGGCTGCTGATTAGTGCTGCGCTGCGTCTCCGATTTCCGGTGATTGATGTAGGCTTCACCGTTTATGCGGTACAGTTTTTAGTATCGTCTCCCTTGATCCTGAATCCGTCGCCACGCGATGGCGAGGCGATTCGATTACCATCACCAGCAGCAGCACCAGCAGGCCGGACGGCGGACTTTGGCGGCATTCTGTTTCGCCTTCGTCCTCTTCCTGCTCGTCGCGGCGTACCTCTTTAGCGGCTTCAAGCCGGGAACGATTCCCACATCGTCCGTGGTACGATTGTTCCTCGATTCCCACATCGTCCGTGGTACGATTGTTCCTCGATTCCCACATCGTCCGTGGTACGATTGTTCCTCGATTCCCACATCGTCCGTGGTACGATTGTTCCTCGATTCCCACATCGTCCGTGGTACGATCGCTCTGTTCTTGAAACCGCTTCGTCATCTTCGGGATTGCCTGATCTCCTCTCAATGAATCACTTGGCATTGTCGCCTTTACGATTTATATCATAACATTGCGTTATCGTGCCTCCCATTGTTTGATCTGTTTTGTTCTAGCAATCTGATACTCCTCAAAGGTTTTTCTTGATCAAGATTTCTTAAGACTCCTGTTGGTCCTGAATTTGATCAAACACATGTCGATCAGGACTCCACTTTAAAGCGTACTAGTAAACTTAGGAGTCAACTCGGCACGTGTCGATCTTTTGTCCGCCGTGACACGTATCGATCATTCCCGGTTTGGCATTCTTTTCAACCGTGACAACGTGTCAAATCCAGAATCCAGCTTCCCTGACTACGGTTTTTTCTCCCATATCCCGACACGAAGTCTCACGATGCTCTTTTCTGTCCGCGGTTCTGCTACGCATCAGTCCGATATTCTACTACATTCTTATATGCTGGGCTTTCCGTTCAGGACGAGGATCAGGATCGGGCAGGAGACGGGCTTGGAGGCCCCAACACGTCAGATGCGCTGGGAGATGAGCCGGCGGAGCACGAGATTCGCGATTCCAGCAAGCTCAGCCTGAATCTGCCTCCAGTGAAGGGCGCCGGGTACGTTTTTGCTTCTCCCGATCTGTTCTAAGTTCACTCAAAATACGCCTACGTGAGCCAGAAGAGCAGGAGATTCGTAATTCTAGCGATCATAGCCCGAATCTGCCTCCAGTGAAGGGCGCCGGGTACGTTTTCACTTCTCCGGATCTGTTCAGAGTTTACTTAAAGTGCACCTAGATGAGCCGGAGAAGCAGGAGATTCGGGCTTTTAGCCAGCTCAGACAGAATCTGCCTCTAGTGAAAGGCGTCGGAAACGCTTTCTCTTCTCCGGATCCCCTTAGTCTGTTGGCTACGCTTTCTCGTTTCCTGATCCTCTTACCCTCCAGGCTCGCTTTCTGTGTTTCTCGCTTGCAGATCCTACCTTCCGATCGCCACTTTCCAAGCATGTTCCGTGTGTCGACCTCACTATGTGTTTTTTGACTTGTTCCGTTGGCTGTTTCGTTGCAGGGAGCCGGCAGACTCGGACATGGAACCTCCCGGGAGAGCCGCGGACGAGGAGGAAGGTAGCGAGTCAGCCGCGCAGGAGGGCCTGCGGGGGGCGGGCGGGGGGGATGCGCGCGCGCAAGCGGAAAAAGAGAGAGATGCGCAGGACGCTGCTGCGCAGGAGGAGGATTCGGAGGGCGGGGATGGTCAGGAGGAGGAAGGGTTGCTGCATAGCCGCACTGGTGGCGATGCGAAGGCGGCGGCGGCGGCGGCTGACGCGGCAGCTGCTGCTGATGCTGATGGTGATGGGGTTGGAGGTTCTGAAGGCGTGGGAGGGGCGAAGGAAGCAGAGGAGGAAGAGAAGGGCGAGAAGGGCGAGGAGGAGAAGGGTGGTGCGGGGAAAGGGAAAGAAGGAGAAGAGGACGAGAGTGGGGTGGAAGGAAAGGGTTCGGATGCGGAGGAGAAGGATGAAGAGAGTGCGGTTGGGGAGGCGAAGGGAGGGAGAGTTGCAGGTGGTAAGAAGACGAAGAAAAAGGATGAAGCGGAGGAGGGGGAAGAGGAAGAGGGGAGCGGAACGAAGGGTTCTGAGGCTAAGGAAGCGGAAGAAGAGAGCGAGGAGGAAGAGGGTAGTGTGAAGAAGAAGGGGATGAAGGGTAAAGGGGAGGATGGAGAGGAGGGCGAGGAGGAGGAGGAGAGTAAGCCGAAGAAGGGTAAGGGGAAGGAGGGGGCGGAGGAGGAGGGAGGTAGTGAGGAGGAGGAAGAAGAGAGCGCCGGAGGCAAGAAGAAGAAGGGCGGCAAAGGCGAGGAGGACGCGGAAGAGGAGGAAGAGGCCTCCCCGGTTGCGAAGAAGGCGATAAGGGCGAAAACGAGCGAAGAGGAAGTCGAGGGTAGTGATGGGGAAACGGAGGGAAAAGGAAGGAAGGGAGATGAGAGCGAGGAAGAGGAGGAAAAGCCGAAAAGCAAGAAAGCGAAGAAGGTGAAAGCGAGTGAGGAAGAGGGAGAGGACGAGGAGAAGGGGCCAGAGAGTGACGAGGAGGAGGAGAGTGTGAGCAAGAAGGGAGGAAAGAAGAAGGCTGCAGCGAAGGAGAGTGAGGAGGAAGAGGAGGGTGAGAAGAAGAGCGAGGAAGGGGAGGAGGAGGGGGATGAGGGGGATGTGAAGCCGAGCAAAAAAGTGAAAGGAGCAAAGAAGACGAGGAAGGAGGAGGGAGAGGATGCGGAAGAGGAGACAGGTGGTGGGAAGGGGGGGAAGGATGAGGAGGGGGGTGATGGGAAGGGGGAGAAAGAGGTAGAGAGCACAGCTGATGCGGAGGTTGAGGAGGATACTGTGGCAGCTGAAGCAGGAAAGGCTGGGGTGAAGGGTGGGAAGGGGAAGAAGAAGAGTGCGAAGGAGGTGGGTGAGGAGGAGGAGGAAGGGGAAGGAGGAGAGAAGAGTGAGGATGGTGGGAAGGAGAGTGGGGAGGAGGAGGAAGAGGAAGGAGGGGCTGCGAAGAAGAAAGTGAAGAAGAGTGGGAAGGAGGAAGAGGAATCTGATGACGCTGGGGAGGGGGAAGGGGGAGAGGAGGGGGAGAGCGGAGGCAAAGGTGGGGCAAAGAGGAAGGCGAAGAAGGGAGGCGAGGAGGGAGAGGAGGAAGGGTCGGAGGAAGGAGGAGAAGAGCTTGAGGAGGAGGGGAAGGGCATCAAGAAGAGTGGAAAGGCGAGCAAGAAGGGAAAGGCGAAGAGCAAGAAGCTGAGAGGGGAGAGCGCGGATGGTGCTGAGCAGGATGGGGAGGAGGAGGAGGGTGGCGCTGCAGAGACAGTGGTTGAGAAATACGAGGTGAGCGTGCTGCTGAGATAACTCTTTTAGACCCGAGCTTTCAGGCTGGCTGCTGTTTCGTGTGTCACTGTGTGTGTGAGCCCCCCCTTTGAACAAGCGCCTGAAGCTGAAGCTAGTTTTGAGGCGCCTCGAAACTAGATTTCGTGTGTCACCGTGTGGTGAGTCCCACCGTGAACAAGTGCCTGAAGCTGAAGCCGAGACGGACATCTTCCCCCTCCCAGCGCCATCACTCAGTTTTTTCCTTTCCCCGCCCCTCCCTCTCACCCGTTCCAGGCGTGTGACCCTGAGCTATCAGAGATAGTGCCGTGCCTGAGCCCTGCCATGAACAAGCGCATGAAGCTGAAGCTCAACTTAAGCACCAAGGCCTCCTTCTCCTCACTCCTTCACCCCTTCACACTGTTCCTCTTCTTGCCCTCCCTGCACGTTCCCTCCCCCTCTCTCTCGTTCCAGGCGTGTGACCCTGAGCTGTCAGAGATAGTGCCGTGCCTGAGCCCAGCAATGAACAAGCGCATGAAGCTGAAGCTCAACACCAAGGTCTCCCTCTCTTCGCCCCTTCACTCTTACACTCCTTTTCTGTTCCTGCCCTCCCTTGTCACTATGAATTTCTCCTTTCCTCGTTCCAGGCGTGTGACCCGGAGCTGTCAGAGATAGTGCCATGTCTGAGCCCAGCAATGAACAAGCGCATGAAGCTGAAGCTCAACACCAAGGTGATGGAGCACTACGAGCGCCACTGCCCTTCTGACGACCTCATGCCGCACTGCCTCGTGCCGCAGCCGCCAGGCTACAAGGTGAGAGGCAGGCACGGGTGCAGGCGGGCAGGGCTGCGGGAAAACAGGGGAGCAGGGGTAGAGGGGGGTGTGGTCGGGGAGAGAGGGCATGAAGCTGAAGCTCAACACGAAGGTGATGGAATACTACGAGCGCCACTGCATGCCAGGGGGCAGGGGTGCATGGGGTAAAGGAGCGCATGAAGGTGAAGGTGAAGCTGAGCACCAAGGTGATGGAGCACTACGAGCGCCACTGCCCCTCTGACGACCTCATGCCGCACTGCCTCGTGCCCCAACCTCCTGGCTACAAGGTGAGAGTTGGTGGGGGGTGCTGGGGTGCTACGCTTAAGGTGGGCGCATGGGAAGAGCAGGGGTCTTCCCTTTCTCATGCCTTCCCGCCATTGTTGCAGTCATCTATCCCCTGGCCTCACAGGGGGGTTGAGGTGTGGCATGCCAATGTGCCTTACACATTGCTGCTCGCGGAGTGGTCGGATCAGTGATGGCAATGGATGGCGAAATCATCCGGTTCCTCTCCTCTCCTCCTCTCTCCCTTCCCTCTCCTCCTCTCCCCCCACCTCCTCTCTCCCCTCCTGCCAGACGTCCATCCTCTGGCTGCGCAGCAGGGACGAGGTGTGGTGGGCCAACGTGCCCCACACGCTGCTGGCAACTGAGAGATTCGACCCCCCCCACTCCCCCCTCCTCTCTTCTCCTCTCCCTCCTGCCAGACCTCCATCCCCTGGCCGCGCAGCAGGGACGAGGTGTGGCGGGCCAACGTGCCCCACACGCTGCTGGCCACGGAGAAATCGGATCAGCACTGGATGGTGGTGGACGGCGAGATCATCCGATTCCCGGGCGGCGGCACGCACTTTCCTGGGGGCGCAGACAAATACATTGAGCGCATTGGGAAGGTGAGAAGGGGAGGGGAGGGGAGGGGAGGGGAGGGGAGGGGAGGGGAGGGGAGGGGAGGGGAGGGGAAGGGGGGAAGGATTGTGAGATATCACTTGAGTGAGCTAGCACGTACTTTCCTGGGGGCGCGGACAAATACATTGAGCGCATTGGCAAGGTGAGAAGAGGGAGGGTGGGGAAGGGTTGGGGAAAGGGGGGAATGAGAGTGCATTGCTGAGGAGGAGGTTCATAGCAGCACGTACTTCCCTGAAGGGGCAGACAAATACATTGAGCGCATTGGCAAGGTGAGGAGGGAGGGGGGAGTGGACAAGGGGGGCAGGGTGGACGGGCAGTGAAAACTTTTTTTGTTGAAGTGTTTAGACGCCAGGAGCAACATCAACACCCCTTTCCCGCCACTCCCGCGCTGCCCCTTCCCCATTGGTCAGATGATGGGAGACGAGAACGGCAACTTCTCAGTGGGCGGCAAGATCCGGACGGTTCTGGACATCGGGTGCGGGGTGGCGTCGTTCGGCGCGTACCTCCTGGAGCACTCAGTGCTCACCATGTCGGTGGCCCCCAACGACGTGCACGAGAATCAAATCCAGTTCGCCTTGGAAAGGGGCTTACCTGCGTTCCTGGGGGTGATGGGCACGCAGCGTCTTCCTTTTCCTTCCTTGGCCTTCGACCTGGCCCACTGCTCCCGCTGCCGCATTGACTGGCTGCAGAGAGGTACGTCCCACACTCTATGGTAACAAGTCTGTGCTGGGCTACTTCACCTCCTGGACCACTCAGTGCTCACCATGTCGGTGGCTCCCAACGACATACACGAGAATCAGATCCAGTTTGCGCTCGAGAGGGGCCTGCCTGCATTCCTGGGGGTCATGGGGACCCAGCGGCTCCCCTTCCCTTCACTCGCCTTCGACCTGGCCCACTGCTCCCGCTGCCGCATTGACTGGTTGCAGAGAGGTAAGCCCCATCACACACCCAGTGCTGAGGTTTTCAGGGCTGGACCACTCAGTGCTCACCATGTCGGTGGCTCCCAACGACGTGCACGAGAATCAGATCCAGTTCGCCTTGGAGAGGGGACTCCCTGCGTTTCTGGGGGTGATGGGGACCCAGCGGCTGCCCTTCCCTTCCTTGGCGTTCGTCCTGGCCCACTGCTCCCGCTGCCGCATTGACTGGTTGCAGAGAGGTGGGTGCCACTTTGCATCCAGTGCTGCTGACCATGTCAGTGCTGTAACCCATGTTAGTCCATGTCACACTCAGTGCTCACCATGTCAGTGGCCCCAAATGACATGCACGAGAATCAGATCCAGTTCGCCCTCGAGAGGGGTCTGCCTGTTCCTGGGTGTGATGGGGACGCAGCGGCTCCCCTTCCCTTCGCTGGCGTTTGACCTGGCCCACTGCTCCCGCTGCCGCATTGACTGGCTGCAGAGAGGTGGGTGAGACGAGTGAGAAGTGGAGATGAGGGAGGCGCGGAGGCGAGGGCGGGGCGAACGATTGAGGAATGGGTAGAGAACCCCCCTCCCCCTATCGTCACACCTTCTCTGTCCAGGTGGCTACTTTGTGCAATGTGTCTTGCAATGCATCATAACACGCCCTGTGCCCTCCCTTCGTGCACCACAATCACTTCCCCCTCCCCCTACCCCCTCCTCCCGTCTCCGCCCCTCCCTGCCCTTCAGACGGCCTGCTGCTGCTGGAGCTGGATCGGGTGATTCGGCCGGGGGGCTACTGGGTTTGGTCCGCCCCGCCTGTGTATCGCGAGGACGAGGAGAATCAGAAGCTGTGGACGGACATGCTGGCGTTCATGGGGTGGGTTGAGGGGGGCGCCTGTCAGTATGATTCAAGAGAACATTAGGATATGCAGTGTGTGGAAACATGATAGGCAGTGTGAGAATGCGGAGAACCAGAAGCTGTGGACCAACATGCTGGCGTTCATGGGGTGAGATGGGGGGGTGACCGGGTGACTGGTGAGTGGGTGGGGTGAATGGGTTGGGGTGGTTAGTGTGAAGACGAGGAGAACCAGAAGCTGTGGACGGACATGCTGGCATTCATGGGGTGAGATGGGGTGAAATGGTGGGGTGAATTGGTGGGGTGTGATTCGGTTGATTCAGGAGAACCCAATGACATGCATGTATGTGAACATGAGAGGTAGTGTGAGGACAAATGGGGTCAGAAGCTGTGTAAGGTGAAGGCGCAGAGTGGGCGGAACCAAATCTCCTGACAACAATTCTCATTCTGCTCCCTTCCTCCCGCTCCACCCCTCCCACAGGCGCATGTGTTGGAAGGTGAAGGCGCAGAGCGGGCAGACGGCCATATTCAAGAAGCCAAAGACGAATCTGTGCATCAAGAAGCGGGCGGCAGACAAGGGGGTGACTTGTGAGTCAGACTCAAACCCCATTCATCCTCTCCACCCCTCACCATCACTCTCCACCCCTCTCCACCCATCCTCACAGGCGCATGTGCTGGAAGGTGAAGGCGCAGAGGGGACAGACCGCCATCTTCAAGAAGACGAATTTGTGCATCAAGAAGCGGCCGGCAGACAGAGGGGTGACTTGTGAGTCAACTGAAACCCCATCCTCTTTACCTCTCTTTACCCCTCTCCACCCCCCTCCACCCCTCACAGGCGCATGTGCTGGAAGGTGAAGGCGCAGAGCGGGCAAACCGCCATCTTCAAGAAGCCAAAGACGAATCTGTGCATCAAGAAGCGGGCGGCAGAGGGGGGTGGTGGGCTTTCAGTCAGAATCAACCTCCATTTGTCCTCTCCATTCCTCCCTACCCCTCTCTACCCCTCACCACCCGTCTCCGCCCCTCTCCACCCCACACCACCCCTTGCCACACCCCTCGTCCCAGGCGCATGTGTTGGAAGGTGAAGGCGCAGAGCGGGCAGACGGCCATCTTCAAGAAGCCAAAGACGAATCTGTGCATCAAGAAGCGGGCGGCAGACACAGAACCGCCCCTGTGCGATGCCGCCCGGGTGTCACCGAATTCCGCCTGGTACACGCCCATGGACGCATGCGTCAACACGGTGCCCAAAGGTAAGAGACATTACTTTGACTTGCAGTAACAAACAGCATGGGTGCAACCCCAGATGCGTGTGCCGCATGCACTCGGGTGTCCCCCAACTCGGCCTGGTACACGCCCATGGACGCGTGCGTCAACACCGTGCCTAAAGGTGAGACACTTCCTTGGGCGAGCAGTAATACATGGTAGCTTTACGCATGTGAGTGTGGGATGCATGCACCCGGGTGTCCCCCAACTCGGCCTGGTACACGCCCGTGGATGCGTGCGTCAGCACGGTGCCTAAAGGTACAAGGATCGTATTCTTGCAGTATCAAGCAGGCAGCACACCCCTAGCCCACGTGTGTGACACATACACCTGTGTGTCCCCCAACTCGGCCCGGTACACGCCCATGGATGCATGCGTCAACATGGTGCCCAGAGGTGAGAGAATTGTGTTCATCCCTAGCAGTATCAAGCCGCACGCCCGCAGCCCCACATGTGTGTGAATCACACACTCCAGTGTCTTCCAACTCGGCCTGGTACACGGCCATGGATACATGCATCAACACGGTGCCTAAAGGTGGGAATCCGTACCTGTGTAGCAGTATCAAGCAGCATGCCCAAAGCCCCAAGCATGTGAGGCGTGCACTCAAGTGTTCCCCAACTCGGCCTGGTATGCGTACATCCATGCGTGTGTAAACACCAGGCCTCAAGTGGCCGCAGCAGCCTTTGAGTCGACTCAAATGGACCCTCTTCCCCCCTCTTCCCCCTTCTTCCCCCCTCCCCCAGGCAAAAAGAACAAGCTGATCCAGCCGTGGCCGGAGCGACTGGTGTCCCCCTCGCCACGCATCGACCTGCTAGGGCTGGCCAAGTCTGACTTTGAGGCCGACACGGTGAGTTTTTATGGCATTCGAAGGGGAAGTGGTGGGTTCATGTGGCAATAAAGGGAAGGGCAGAATTATGTGGCCGGAGCGACTGGTGTCCCCCTCCCCGCCCATCGACCTGCTTGGGCTGGCCAAGAGCGACTTTGAGGCCGACATGGTGAGCTGTTGCTGCTGGCCCTTTTGGTCTCAAAATGACAGTTTGCATGGATGGTGGGTGTCATGTGGCGGGCGCTGCTGGTGTATGTTCTTCTCAAATGCACCCTCCAAAAGAGCTCCAAAGTGCCCTTCCCCATGCGCAATGTCATTGACATCAACGCCCACCTCAGTACCCATCATTCCTGCCCTCCCTCTGCCCCTACCCTGCTTGACAGGAAGCGTGGGAGAAGATAGTAGCAGACTATGACGCCCTTCTTGGTGCTCCTCACTCAAAGCACCCTTTAAGTCCAGGAGCTCCAAGGCGCCTTTCCCCATGCGCAGTGTGATTGACATCAACGCTCACATCAGAACCCATTGCTCCTGCCCTCCCTCTACCTACTTTTCTCCCATGAGCAGGAAGCGTGGGAGAAGATAGTAGCAGACTATGACTCTCTGCTGGGCGGGCAGGCCCTCCTTCGCCCTGCAGACTCCTCCCTCAAAGCATTTTCCAAGTTCAAGAGCTCCAGAGCGCCCTTCCACGCCCCTCCCCCATGAGCAGGAAGCCTGGGAGAAGATCGTAGCAGACTACGACACCCTGCTGGGCGGACAGGCCCTCCTTCGCCCTGCAGACTCCTCCTCCCTCAAGGCAGCCTCCAAGAGCAAGGGTTCCAAGGCGGCCTTCCCCATGCGCAATGTGATTGACATCAACGCGCACATGGGCGGGTTTGCAGCGGCACTGGCAGCGCAGGGTCAGGCGGTGTGGGTGATGAACACGGTGCCCCCGCAGGGGGGAGCCAGTGGTGCTGGGCTGGCGATGGTGTATGACCGAGGGCTCATCGGGGTGTTCCATGACTGGTGAGTGGCACTGTTGTTGGGGGTGATGGGCACGTGAAGGGGATTATACTGTGGCGCTGGCAGCGCAGGGGCAGGCGGTCCGCAGGGGGAAGCCAGCGGTGCCGGGCTGGCCATGGTGTATGACCGAGGGCTCATCGGGGTGTTCCATGACTGGTGAGTGGCTTTGCGGTGCTTGGGGGACTTCAGCACATGGGGGAAATGTGGAGGGCCTGGTTTGCTGCCCCTTGTTGCTATGCTCTGCATCTGTCCCTGTCATTTAATACTAACACTTGTTTGTTAACTATGTCTCCTGCTCCAGGTGTGAGCCCTTCTCGACATATCCCCGGACCTACGACCTCGTCCATGCATGGAGGGCAGTGTCTCAACTCCTCAAGCGTAAATGCTCCTTGGAGGCCTTGCTGCTTGAACTCGACCGGATCCTCCGCCCCAAGGGCGTTCTGCTCTTCCGAGATAGTGCCGATGTTATTGCGCGCCTGGAGAAGCGGTTGAAGGCGGTGAAGTGGGTTGTACTGAAGGGGCCTGTGTCGAGGACGTTTATTGACGGGGAGGAGGAGCAGGTGCTCATTGTGCAGAAGAGGTTTTGGCGAATGAAGGAAAAGGCTGGGTTGAAGGAAAGTGCGGAGGCAGCTGCATCGACAGATGGGGATGCTGAGGAGCGTCGGCGGTTGTGACATAATCATGAGAGTTCAACCGGATTTGATTCGTTGGTTTTAGAAAAGCCTTGGAATCTGACCCCCCCAGTAGAGATGCTAGGTACTTACAGTTTGCATTGTTTGTTTCCAATTGTAGTCTATTTGAACCCCATTCCTACACTCCCTCAGTTTTTACACGAATCTGTGTAATAGTGCGTCCCACTTTGACCGATTTTCGCTCATCACTTTCTGTGGTGTCAGGTCTTCCTGGCCCACTGACACAGCGGCCGGAGTCGGACTGGTTTGGTTGGTTTGTCAGAGAATGTTACCAGACTGCTCCTCCACCTCAATGCCGGCGAAATCTGACGAGCTTGAGAAGGTCGAGGGGTGCCCACCTCACGTCCACGAACCGAGCAGAAATGGAGGACCATCGAAATTTGCACGGTTCACGACGCACAAAAGAAGTTCCCGAGGAAGTGGTTGCGAAAAGTTTCAACTTCATCCGCAAATCCTGGTGTCGTGCGGGCAGTCTCGGGGACATCTCACTCCAGTTCACGCGTGCACCAATCACCGTTCTCGCTGGAACCAAGAAAGTCCCGCACAGCTAAAGATGCGCAGTTCCATCTCATCGAAGCGCGCAGGACATGCGGCTCGGCTCACATCCCATCAGAATCAGCCGTCAGACAGGCAGCGCGCATTGGATCATTTGCTTTCTCCTCGATCTCCTCGCTGCACTTGCTTGATCTCTAGCTGCTGCTCTGCTGTTCCTTCAGTTGGGACTGCCATGCTGCTGGAAAGTCGCACGAGCATTTTATTATTAGAGCCGATGACGGTTTAGGGTTGTGACCTGTCTGTCGCAGAGTAAGCTATTAGGATTACGCATAATTTTTGTTTAACTAGCGACCTTTAGTTAGCCGCGTAATAGATCGTCGTCTCAGGTTTTTCTAAACGCCCTGGACTGATTCGAAGGGGAGTCTAAGCTAGCGTCGACCCACACAGGTCCTGATTTCGATTACATATACCATCTTTTTATCGACGATACGAGTTCGTGAATCTCGATTCGACAATCATTCTTTACGTCGTTCGCGTCTGTCAGTTGACTTACCAACATGGATCCTCTTCCGCAAGACCATGGCTTTAATCCCAAGGTAGGCAGTCCCCTGAAATTTTGTAGCCCTGTGTGAACGAGTTGCCTTCTAGCACTCGATTGTTAGCCGGCTGTTATTACGAGACGGCTCAATGTAATAATTTGCAGCTAGTGCTAGATGCCTCCACAAGTAGGATGTGTTGCCACTAACCTTTCCTTCGTTGCAGCTTTTTGTTATCACCTGTTTCCATGCCTTGCTACACTCAACAATCCCGCGCTTTTAGGTTTACATATTATTCATCGCAGTATCTTTACCATCTCTTCGACTTCATTCGTCCCGCCAGGCTCTAGGCTCGTGGGCTCGGCGTACGGGATTGGTCAGCGGCTTCATGTCCCCGCGCCGGGACAGCGTCGTTGACGTCACCGATGGCACCAATACAGTCACACCCGCTACAGGCGAACCCGCTTCGCCGTCCCGCGCGAGCAGCGCGGACGGCAGTAGTTTCCAAGCGAGCGGGTTTCACGGTCAGGGGGAAGGGCACTCAGCACACGAGGGATACGACGGGTACGATAGTCACGGGGGGCATAGCGGGAATGGGGGGCAATTCTCCGCTCCCCAGCTTCCGCCACCGCCCGGACGATCCGCGTTCAAGAAAGCGCCTTCAATCCGCTACCCCGTTGCGCAGCGGGGCGAAGCGAGTAGTGACAGTATTGGGGCCGGGAGCATGTCGCCTAAAACTCCCCAGGCGGTCGCTTCTGCGACTATACCGGAAGCGGAGAACGAGGGCGTTTCGTCTATAGAGGAGAGCGACGCGGGAATGGGAAGCGCGCGACGGTCGGAAGAGGTGTCGAGTCGACACGGGGGGAAGGCTGGCGGAGCGGCAGCGTCGGGGTGGGTTGGCGGAGCGTTCGTAGGCGCGGCAATCGGCGGAAGGGTTAGCGGAAGCCAGGTGGCGCCGTATCCCGAAGGGGAGGAGGGGGAAGCGGAGGGGGAGTACGAGGGGGAATATCGGATGGCGGAGGGGGAGTATGGATACGCGGAGGGGGAGGATATGGGGGGAGATGACGATATGTACAAAGACGTGATTGTAGACGATATGCCTTTAGAGGAGGGGATGGAGGAACGGACAGGCGTGATGAATTATGAGATGAGGGAGAGGCCCGAGGCCGGGTGGATGGTGGCGTACGCGTTACAGCACATGGTCGCGCTTATAGCAAACGTGATTGTGTTCCCGATGATACTCGTCCCCGCTATGGGAGGCTCCGACGTAAGTTAATCGATTGCACTGCTCCTGGTGCAGGCGAGAATCACACTTGGCAAGAGTATCAGCATGCCACTTAAACGCGCCGTCGGCCCTTACCGCTTAAATTCTCAATCAGCCCTGCTCCCTGCTTCCTCTTCCTGAATGCAGCTCGACAAGGCGGCGGTGATTCAATCGGTGATGATGGTGACGGGCGTGGCGACCACGCTCCACGTGCTGCTGGGCACGCGTCTGCCTCTCGTGCAGGGTTCCTCTCTCGTGTACTTGGCACCGGCTATCATCGTCGCCAACTCGCCTCACAACCTCACCGCCGATCCCTCACAGCGGTTCTCGTTGACAATGCGGGAGACGATGGGGGCAGTGATCGTGGCGTCGCTGCTGCAAGTCGTTGCCGGCTACTCGGGCTTCATGTCGCTTCTTATAGAGTGAGCACCCTCGGTTGTTCTTCATGTCGTCCCTTATAGAGCGAGCACCGTTGCCTGCTACCCCATCCCCACCCCCCCCGCTGCTTTTAATTGTGGTGTCGCTGCTGCAAGTCGTTGCCGGCTACTCGGGCTTCATGTCGCTTCTTATAGAGTGAGCACCCTCGGTTGTTCTTCATGTCGTCCCTTATAGAGCGAGCACCGTTGCCTGCTACCCCATCCCCTCCCCCTCCGCTGCTTTTAATTGTGGTGTCGCTGCTGCGAGTCGTTTCCGGCTACTCGAGCTTCATGTCGCTTCTTATAGAGTGAGCACCCTCGGTTGTTCTTCATGTCGTCCCTTATAGAGCGAGCACCGTTGCCTGCTACCCCATCCCCACCCCCTCCGCTGCTTTTAATTGTGGTGTCGCTGCTGCGAGTCGTTGCCGGCTACTCGGGCTTCATGTCGCTTCTTATAGAGTGAGCACCCTCGGTTGTTCTTCATGTCGTCCCTTATAGAGCGAGCACCGTTTACTACCCCATCCCCACCCCCTCCGCTGCTTTTAATTGTGGTGTCGCTGCTGCATGTCGTTGCCGGCTACTCGGGCTTCATGTCGCTTCTTATAGAGTGAGCACCCTCGGTTGTTCTTCATGTCGTCCCTTATAGAGCGAGCACCGTTGCCTGCTACCCCATCCCCACCCCCTCCGCTGCTTTTAATTGTGGTGTCGCTGCTGCATGTCGTTGCCGGCTACTCGGGCTTCATGTCGCTCCTCATACATCGAGCACCCTCGGTTGTTCGCAGGCTTCATGTCGTTCCTTATAGAGCGAGCACCGCTATTTTTTTGTCTTGGTAAAGAAAAGCTGCTTGGTCGTTGGCTTCTCTAACTCCATGTCGCTTCTCGTAGAGTAAGGCTGATCAACCTTGTGTCGTGGGCGCCAACCATCACGGCTGCTGTCCTCTCCTTCCTCTCGCACAATACTGCCCCTCCCCCTTCATCTCCTTTCTCCCATCCCCACCGCTCCAATTCTCTTCTCAACTCTTCATTTTCTCCCCGCCACAGACTCATCAACCCAGTGGTGGTGGCCCCCACCGTAATGGCTGTGTCGGTCTCTCGTTCCTCTCCCACGGCTTCCCTGTCACTGCCCTACCCTGCCGTTTCCCCTCCATCTCCCTATCCCCCATCCCCGCCACAGGCTGATCAACCCATTGGTGGTAGCGCCAACCATAATGGCCGTCGGCCTCTCGTTCCTCTCCTTCGGCTTTCCTGTCATCGGCTGTATCCCACACTCCCCTCTTATTCCTTGCTCCCCCATCCCCCATCCTCCACGGCAGGCTCATCAACCCAGTGGTGGTGGCACCAACCATAATGGCCGTGGGACTCTCCTTCCTCTCCTATGGCTTTCCGGTCATCGGCCGCTGTGTGGCCATCGGCCTGCCTGAGCTCATCCTAATCGTCATCTTCGCACTGGTATGTGGCAGTAGTTATATTTGAATATCATAGCAGCACTGTTTTCACCTGGTATGTGCCAGCAGCCTAGATCTGAATATTGCAGCACCGTTGTATTCGCACTGGTATCAGACACGGAAGTTTAGCTGGATATCCTAGCACCGACGTATTCTAAAGTTTTCCGCCATCCGCTTATGACTCTCCACCTCTCTGCCTCCCTCTCCACCACTCTGCACCCCTCTCAACAGTACCTGCGCCGAGTGTCATTCTGGGGCTCAAGGTTCTTCCAGATCCATGCGGTAAGACCCTCAACCCCCCCCCCCCCCGCACCTTCCGCATTGACGTGCTTGTTCCAGTTTAAGCTGCGTGACGCTGTGCGTGCTTGCTCTTCAAATTCTTTTCATGGAGTTTTCCTCTCCCCTTCTTGTCTTGGTGGAAAAGCTGTAGCCTTGCTTCATATATACCATGTATGCCCCCCCCTACCAGATCTCCCTAGGCCTGGCCATCACATGGCTGTACGCGCTAGTGCTCACCCTAGCAGGCGTCTACAGCTACCCCGACTGCTCGCCCTCGGCCATCTACCCCTCCTCCTCCCCCTGCGCCGAAAGGCAATCCCTCATGGCCTCCTGCCGAACCGACGCCTCCAGTGCACCTTCTGACTCCTAATTCCTGCCTGCTTTGCTGTGCCCCCCTCCCATCACTTGCACGTCTGCCCCATTTCGTCACTTGCAGATCTCCCTAGGCCTGGCCATCACATGGCTGTACGCGCTAGTGCTCACCCTAGCAGGCATCTACAGCTACCCCGACTGCTCGCCCTCGGCCATCTACCCCTCCTCCTCCCCCTGCGCCGAGAAGCAAGCCCTCATGGCCTCCTGCCGCACCGACGCCTCTAGCGTTCTGGCGGACGCCAAGTGGGTGGCGCCCCCGTACCCGTTTCAGTACGGCATGCCCATCTTCCGATGGGAGTCCATTTGCGTGATGCTGCTGCCTGCCCTCATATCGACCATCGACTCGGTGAGTTGGGGATGTATGGATGAGTGGGTAGGTGGGGGGGTGGGTGGGCAGGCGGGCGGGTGGGTGCAGCAAGCGGGGCTGTGAGTGAGAATGGGCATGTCAACAGTGCCGTCAGAGGCCAAGTGTGTCGCGCCCCCGTACCTGTTTCAGTATGGCATGCCCATATTCCCATGGGAGTCCATCTGCGTCACCACCACAGAGCATTCACCTTTCTTCCTCGCCCCACCGGCTTCCTTTTCCGTTCCCCCTCCCTGCACTTGCCAGGTCAGCAACTACCACGCAACTTCCCTGCTGGTAGCCGTGCGCCCCCCCACAGGCGGGGTGGTGGGGCGAGGCATAGGCATGGAGGGCATAGCGAGCGTGCTGGCAGGGATGTGGGGCACGGGGGGTGGCGCCACCACTCTCACTGAGAACATTCACCTGGTCGCGGTTACCAGAATGGGGTCGCGCGTTACCATCATCGTCGGGGCGGCGTTTCTCGTCTTCTTCTCGCTCTTTGGTAGGTGGAGGGGTGTGAGGGAAGTGGGAGCTTGGCAGGAGGGACTGGTGTTCAAGGGAAGAGGGGTGGGGGCCTTTCGGGGTGGTAAGAAGGGAGGGCAGTGGGGGTGTTGAGGTTGAGGGTGGTATAGTGAGGGATGAAGGTGGCACACATTGGGCTATTTGACAGTTCCCTTCCCACGCACCCCGCTGCTGATACACCCCTCTGCTTCCCCTCTTCTCCCGTCTTCCTTAGCTGTTACACCAGGCAAGGTGCGGGCACTATTTGCCTCCATGCCACCACTCATAATCGACAGACTCCTCACCATCATGGCAGCATCCCTCGGCCTCTCCTCGCTGCGATACGCCGAGATGGGCTGCTCCCGCAACCTGCCTTCCTTGTTTCCCCACTTCCAACGCTCCGCCCTCTCCCTCTCCCCCACTTCCCCCCTTCTTTCCCCCTTCTCCCCCCTGCCTTTCTCCCCTCCTCCCTCAGGCAAGGTGGGGGCACTATTCGCCTCCATGCCACCAGTCATGGTGGGTGGGCTCCTCACCATAATGGCAGCCATGGCAGCATCGCTCGGCCTCTCCTCGCTGCGCTACGCCGAGATGGGCTCCTCGCGCAACCTCCTCATCACTGGATTGGCGCTCTTCTTGTCTCTGTCGGTACCGGACTATTTCAAGACGTATACGGCTTCGACCGGTCATGGGCCAATCAACACGTCTAGCTCGGGGGTAAGTTCTTGGTCTGCACATAGTGCTGTAGCTGGTGTAGCCGCTGTGGCCTTGGGCAGAGATGGGCTCCTCGCGCAACCTCCTCATCACTGGATTGGCGCTCTTCTTGTCTCTGTCGGTACCGGACTATTTCAAGACGTATACGGCTTCGACCGGTCATGGGCCAATCAACACGTCTAGCTCGGGGGTAAGTTCTTGGTCTGCACATAGTGCTGTAGCTGGTGTAGCCGCTGTGGCCTTGGGCAGAGATGGGCTCCTCCCGCAACCTGCTCATCACAGGCCTCGCGCTCTTCCTCTCTTCTATTCTCCCCTCCCCTCCCTGCTGCTCGCAGCTCAACTTTGTGCTCAACTCACTCCTCGCCCTCCCCATGGCCATCGCCTTCATGACTACTTTCTTCCTCGATAACACTATGCCGAGGACAGCAGGGCACGGCACAACGCAGCACCCGAGTCCTTTACGTGGTTCCCGTCTAATATCCATCGCCTTTCTCTTCTCCCGTCCCCTCTCTGCTGTTGCGAACCCCTCCGTCCCTTCCCTTCCCATCCCCCGCAGCTCAACTTTGTGCACAACTCGCTGCTCGCCCTCCCTATGGCCATCGCCTTCATGCTGGCCTCCCCCCTCCTTGCAGCTCAAGTTTGTGCCCAAACGATGCCTCTATGTCTGCCCTTTCTCCCCTCCCCTCCCTCTGCTCCTCGCAGCTCAACTTTGTGCTCAACTCGCTGCTCGCCCTCCCCATGGCCATCGCCTTTATGGTTGCTTTCTTCCTTGACAACACTGTGCCTGGCACGGCCACCGAACGAGGCCTCTACGTCTGGTCCGGACGTAAGGCGGCTCGGGCCGATCCTCTCATGCACGAGGACTATGACCTGCCGTTCGGCTTGAGCAGATTCTTCTCCTGGGTCTTCTGGCTGGGCGTGTGAGTGCATGAGATTTCGAGACGATTCTGTGGTCTGGTCACTACTGCAGCTCGGGCCGACCCTCTCATGCATGAGGACTATGACCTTGCTGCATGAGCATTGAGCAAATTGATTCTTCTCGTGGGTCTTCTGGCTGGGCGTGTAGCTGTATCCTGCAGCCTGGAACACTTATGCAATCTACCTAGGTCAGGTCGTACCATGTCCTGTTCTCTCCATGGGTTGTTTGTAAATTTTGAGCCCTTAGCTTGCTGCAATGTAGGTGTAGCAACTAATTTATATGAAGGCCTCCTCTTGGCTTCTCTGGGATCGGATTAGTGGTTGAATATGGTGTAATGAACCAGCAGCTCCTATCAACTCCTTATGGTATGTCCCATACCAGTACGTCAGTCATCATGGTATGCTATCATTATTACAAAACGGACTTATCAAGCACCACAAGTCCTTCTGGAGCTACAGGTCTGATTCGGCATTGCACCAGCCCATCTGAATTTATACTAGCGCAATTATACAGGTCAGTGCACTATGCACTAGCGCCAACAGCCAGAGCTTTGATCTCGACCAACACGCGGGCGTCTGCTGCTGCTGAGATTGCAGAGTCACTTGCTCCTGAGTTGGCAAGGACAGAGCTGATATGCCGGGAGAACAGGAGGGGGGGGGGGGGGGGGGGGGGTGGAGTGGGGAAGAGGGGGGTTGGAGGGATGGGGGGGGGAGAGGGAGGACGCCAGGGGTGTGAGTAAATGGGGAGGTAAGGGAGGTAGGCTGGTGTGGTGGCTTGGAAGGCTAAGAGCCTTTTGCGAGCGTTGAATAACCGCATTGGCTTACCCAATAGGGACAGACACCGATGCTTGCAGCACCAGGCGGTACTGGGAGAGGCGGCTGGTGAGGCGCCCGCTCACTGCAGGCACCGAGTCCTGGGGTGCTGTTATAGTCACATTTGCCTGGTCCAGGTTGGAGCCGAGGAAGCTTCCTGTGAGCGCACTGGCACGCAGAACCACCTGGTTGGGTGTGAGCGTGAAGGTGCCATCTGGGGAAGGCTGGAACTGACCTCCTGTGGGGGGGAGTGAAATGGGGCATGTGCAGAGAAAGAGGCAAATGAGGGGAGAAGGGAAATGTGACAATTGGGTGAGATAATGTTTGCGCACTCTATTGACCAGGCGATATTTGATACATAATTTTATTCTCTTACCTGAGATTTCCACTACTGGCTGGGAGATCTTGATTGTAGCGATTGGAACGCCCATTGCGGCTGAAAGGACGGCTGTGATTTCATCTGGGCGCGATCCCGCGGTGGCTGCCTGCCACGTCATCACACGTGTGGCTGACGAGTCACGCAGATTGATCTGACCAATCAGGTTGACGGCACTGGGACTGAGCTCTGCCGTGATGCCACTTGGCAGGCCCTGGAGGGTGACGTGGCACACGGACTCGGCTGGGACGAAGTTGAGTATAACAACAGCTGCGGCGTGGGAGGCGAGAAGCGCAAATGTGGTTACTGCCAGCATGATCAGGCTCGCTGAGTTCCTCCGGATATCCATGAGCAGGAGATGACGGACAAACAGAAGCTGGACGGTGTATGTGTCTTAAAGTATTTTTTCTGGTGAAAACAAAATCCGCTGCGAGGAAAATGGGTAAACCGCTGGTTTGGAGTTAGAGTTTGCATGAGGCTTTGGATGTATCGACAAGGCTATTTGTAGGTGAGTGAATCTTGCGGTTTCTGCTCTCCAACGCCCGAAAAAATCCAATTTCCCTCAACCATCCGAGGACTGATTCGCGTCGGAAATGTCAGCTTGAAGGTGACGTGCGAAGCGCGCGAGTCAACATTTCGAGTCGCGCATTACTTTCCTGCCTGCCACACAAGTCAAATGAGACCCATGGGGAAGAACTGAACTGATTGACCGTGACGACGTGGCGACATCGGCCAGTCAATTGTTCTATGCTGCGTCATTGCACTTAGGCAAAGAGACATAGAAATTTACAGGATTGTATGAAGTTCATGTATTTGTTGAAAGCTTTATCGATCTTGCTTCCCACCAGCCCTCCAATCGAGGTGGTCATTTGCGCATCCCCAAAACATACCGCAAAAACCCGTTTCACGTCCCATCACAGCCCTTCTTCCCCAGAGCACCAACATCAACAGCTGGCTCTTTTGTTCCCCTCTGCGTCGTTCTCACTTCTGGCGGGTCGATCGAGTCGAGGGTAATTTATAAAGCTCAGATTACGTGGTGCTAGTTGGGATCAGGGCATTATTCTGAAGGGACATGCTTCATTGAATCTTCTATAGTTCGACCACCTAAGTTCATGGCTACGCCACGTCCTTCAGCACACTTGTCCTTTCGTGCTGCCAGCGATCACATGACGGGAGCTGGTAAGCCAATTCCTATCTCCAATGCATCCTTATGGAAAACGTTTTCTTTCACGAGTTATGGAATCCGTTCAGGTTGACTAAACGCGGCTATGATGACTTATGTTTCTGGACCTCCGATTTCACCGTGGGGAATGTACAATTAACCTTAGCTGTGGTTCTGAGCCGTGCGTTGCAACCTTCGCCTTGGATAATCCATCGACGTCCTTCTTATCGAACCGTTCCCTTCCTGGTCTTTCCGCCCCCAGCACTAGTTCCACCATTCTCAACTTCGCGTCTCATCGCATTGCACTTCACTTGCGTCGTATTGTTCGCTTTCCACACTCAGTAGTGTCAGTCGAGCTCCTGATTGGTATCCTCTGATGCGTTCAATGCCGGTACCCTGACAAGTCCCAGATGATGAATTTAAGTTGATGTGGTAATTTGCGTCCGATGGCCTTCGGCCGACTGAGGACTCAACCTTGGAGAACTGATGGGACTGATGATCAGTGCCCATCCTCAATGCATGATGACCTCACAAACGCATCTTTGATGTGCATTTTTGTGTTGGAAGCAGTCTCTTTTAACCAAAGTTGTCGTCTTTCGTGTTTTTTGTCTAACCAGAAGCTTTCTCTGATGGGCGACCACATGGGAACAGCAACGAACAAGACATCGGCGGACGGACGTTGAGCCTATTGACATGCGGGGTTGAAGGACGTCTTTATCCAGCCGTTTCTCTCCGTCTGACATGGCGAATCGTCTGACAAGGTGCGTTCTGCGCTTCATCTCGAAATATATCAACATACCTTTGTGCTGGAGGCTTCATGCCGGGTGTTTTATCGCATGATTCTAGTTGCGACAATTGCTAGTGCGTCGTTCGAACGGCTCGCATCCCACGCGACGGCGTGCGATCCCTTCACGGGGTTCGCATTGCCTGTCCTGGGTTACGATTCCGCTGTCGCAACGTACTCGTTCCCAGTCGCACATACTGCCCAGCCTCCCGTGACTTGCCCGTCCGCTGTGATCGGCGGAGGGGAGTCCACAGGGTTCTTGACCGTCCCTGAAGGGGAGGTTCATTATTGTTGCCTCCAGACGTTTTCTAATGACCCGGACATTCTAGACATTGTCGGGTGATTTTCATATTTGGGTTCTCTTGCCTGACATTGTCTCCCCCGGTGTTCCCGCTGCATGCAGGTCTTTCGACTCCTTGTATTGGCCAGCTCCGAAGGATGTCACATGCGGAGAGGTTTGATAAGTGTTAGCTGCGAATCAGGAAAGCACGCGGCTGCAGCTTCTGTAGCGGCTCCTTGCTAATATTGGCGAGGATTCAAAACTGCCCGAGGTATGCAGCGGTGTCAACGGTGTAATACTCTTTTATGTCCAGTCTTCCGCCTGGATTGATGTTTCCACGGAGAGCAATGACGATCAGTGCTTAAGAGGCCAAATACTGACCTGTGATGAATCAAATTCTTTAAACCTCCTACTCGAACTGAGCTCTCCGTATCAACCGCAGTCTGCTACCTCCAATCCTATTAGTCTTTTCAGTTTGTTCCGTCATGTTCATTGTATTATTTTTTCGTACTGATTTTTTTACGTTTTTGGTCGTCCACTGACAGATTAGTGTGACTGGAAGTGGAAGTCCTTGTCGCTATCCGGATTTACGAGTTCGTGGATTGAGCAGGCCAATTATGATTCATCTAAATTGTGGGAAACTGTATGATTCAATCAATCGTTACTGAACGTTGTGGCACCGGTTTAGATACTCGGAAGTACTGTACATAATGGCACTGGTCTAGTAATTGCAATTTCTAACATGGAAGCAGTACACCATATCTCATGCTGCGTCAATAGGTACTAGGGTTCAGGACCTCCACTAGGAGCTGCACCAGGTGTAGCCCCGAGAGCAGCCCTGGGAACACGTCCAGGAGCAACCCCCGGATCAACACCGGGAGCACGGCCAGGAGCAGGCCCGGGAGCAGCACTAGGAGCAGAACCAGGAGCAGCCTCCCTAGGAGGGGGGCGGGGACGGGGCCTTACCTCCAGCAGTAGGGGTAGGGGCAGGTGCAGGTGCAGGGGCAGGGGTGGAGGCAGGGGTAGGAGCAGGAGCAGGCACAGGTGCACAACCGGGAGGAGTAGGAGCAGCAGAGGGGACACCAGCCAGAGGAGGAGGCTCCTTGCCAGGGGCAGACGGGGCAGGGTAGGGGCGGAGGGCACTGGGAGGCTGCTGACCAATCCCCTGCAGGTTAAGGTTCACACGCATAACTGCCGCTGCTCCAGGCGGGGTGGGGCCAGGGGGTGTGGTGCCCCCAAGAGCTTCCACCACGGAACGGAGGGGCACGTCGAAGGATCCGCCAGAGAGGAGCTCAAAAATCTTCCCGCGGCGGATGAATTTGCCGTTGAGAGTGGGCGCGTTGGCCTCGGGAAGGTCAACCACGACGTTCTGCTTGTCCACGTTGTTGCGCATCACAGAGCCGGAGACGCGGGAGAAGAGCAGCTTGGTGTTGTTGGGCTGGAAGGAGTAGTCGCTCGTGGTGTTGTCGATGGGGAAGCGCCCACCCCAGATCTGCACCTGGGGATTCTCGAAGGTCAGGTTTGCGAACTCGTTCGGGCCTGCGGGTGGCGCAACGAACGCCTTCCACGTGGCAGGGTCTGAGGAGAAGTTGGAGGAGAGCCATTCGGCCTGCACATGACAAGGAGGCACACGAGTTGTGTTACAACACCAAACATTTCTTAAATCAGACCAATGTAAGCATTCTCACGAGTTGATAAACGTAGGATTTCCACTCAGGCAGTTTGCATTTACTGGGAAAAACTAAGAAGAGAAAATTTACCGTATGAACTTACATGCTCTGTGTTTTGCTTACAAAGATGGGTGTGAACTGCGGGCGGATGACCCGCAGCACGTTGATAACGACAGGTCCCACAAGCTTGAACTGCCCCGGACTGCTCTCCTTGCGCAGCCCAGGCGGCCCCTCCAGCGACCACGACGACACGGAGTTGTCAGGAATCGTGTTGAGGTCCACCAATCCACGCTTTGCACGTGGCGGTTTCTCTGCGCAAGCCGGTGCTCCAAACGTGGAGAGAATCAGCAGCACGGAGAGGGAGGCTAGGACTGCTCGGAAGAGCAGTGCGCGGGAATCCATTGTGAAAAAACAAAGAGCTAGGCGAGGATGCTGAGGGCTGGTCGCTCGGGATGAAACAACAAAGAGCACAGAGGACCAGGCACAGCGACGGAGTGAAGCGCAGAAACCAAGCGAAGCTGGCTGGGCTGTTGGGAGAGAGTCGCCAGGGTTCTTGATATTGTGAATGTGGGTGGGGCGAAGTTCGGTTGCGAAGTTGGGGGAATGTTGAAAAAACAATGCGGCTCGGTAAATGCGTTTCGTGTGATATGTTCAATTCGCGACAGCTGTTTGAATCATAATGATTGGTCTGTTTCCGTCGCGAAAGGAAGTTACCGTCGGATCCAGCCCGACTTCGAATCAGTCGTGGAGTCCCTAGCGCATTTGCCGCTGTACCTGTATGAAACCAGCTGGACCCGAGACTCGTGCTGAATGCCTGCCATCAGTTCGATTTTGCCCACGAAAACACCTTACGCCATTGATGTGGTACCGTACTCCGTTCATAATCATCTGTACATGATAAAATTATTTCTCAATTCTGTATTTATGATGTAACTTGTACCATAGGTCCAACAATTGGTAATGTGTAGAAAAGTAATCATGGTCTGAAGAGGAGTGCAAAAATAAAAATAAAGATGAAATCATTCCCTAGATAAATTAATGGCCAGCTTTGCTGCGATATGAAGTTGATCGTAACAACCAGGATCACCCCAGGAAGGTTCGAACACAACTGAGTGGTAGTGGTGGGCCCTTGACCTCAAATCAGAGTGAATGTAAAATGATTGAGATAACAAAAACATGCAGATACAAACATATAAATAAGAGTACAAGGTGGAATACGAAACGACCCAGCTAGCCATGTACTCTAAGTGGTACATTCCCTTAGTGCAGCGAAACCCAACTGTGCGACTCCAGACGGTTACGAACTGCTCGGGCAGAATCCTCGCCACTGCTGCTGCCTGATGCTGTCTGCCCTAACGGTCCAGATGCTTCGTAACTGTACGTCTCTTCGCGTCATTCCGCCTTTTCGTCTTCAGCCTCGGTATTGCATGCTTCGATTGCTACTGCCAAGATTGCAAAGTAACACTTCATTCTTTACCATTCGTAACACCCCCCTTCACTCCTGGCCGTGGCAGGTCTTGACCCGCTTGACTAGTCCGCTGAGTTCGGAGCAGTGCTGGTACTGCTGACGTGACAGTCGCTTCGTGAGGAAGTAAGCTGCCATGTCACCCGTCGGGCAGTAGGTCAAGTCAACCTTGCCCTTGTCAACTTCGTGTCAAAGTACAATCTTAGTTGTAGGCTATAGTGGGGCACTCCTTATGGGGTACAACACTTCTAGGGTTAGTACTTGTACCCCAACTCTTGCTAATCCAATCATTCCTGCACAATTATTCTGACATGGTATTAAGAGCAGGAAACCTGTTAAGTTTTTAGGACCCACCGATAGTTTCGCTCGTTCCTACCCGAAGCGCCCTTGCGCTGTCCGGCCCTGCTCGCACAGTGTCGCGCTGCCCTGCAGCTACTCGCACTGCCTGCTCCCCCCGCACGTCGCGCCCTGCTGCAGCCCGCGCGTCGCGCTCTGCTGCTCCGCGCCTCACGCCCTGCTGCAGCCTGCACGTCGCGCCCTGCTTCCCCCATCGCGCCCTGCTGCAGCCAGCGCGTTGCGCCCCACTGCAGCCAGCACGTCGCGCTTTGCTGCCCTGCGCGTCGCGCCCTGCTGCAGCCAGAGCGTCGCGCCCTACTGCAGCCAGCGCGTCGCACCCTGCTGCCCTGCGCGTCGCGCCCTGCTGCAGCCAGCGCATCGCGCCCTAATGCAGTCAGCGCGTCGCGCCCTGCTGCCCTGCGCGTCGCGCCCTGCTGCAGCCAGCGCGTCGCGCCCTACTGCAGCCAGCGCGTCGCGCTCTGCTGCCCTGCGCGTCGCGCCCTGCTGCAGCCAGCGCGTCGCGCCCTACTGCAGCCAGAGCGTCGTGCTCTGCTGCCCCTCGCGTCGCGCCCTGCTGCCCTGCACAGCGCGCGCCCTGCTGCCCTGTCCACCGCGCGCCCTGCCCTGCAGCCCAGGGCGCGCCCTGCCCGGCCGAGCTGCGCCGCCCAGCCCGAGCCGCCCTGCCCAACCGGAGCCGCGCCGCCCTGCCTTGATCACCAGCCCCACCGAGCCGCCCTGCTGCCACTACTGCTGCTGCTGCTGCTCGTGCTACTGCTGTTGCTGGTGGAAGTGCTGCTGGGAGTGCTGGGAGTGCTGCTGGTGCCGAAGGTGCAACTGGGAGTGCTGGAGGTGCTGCTGGTGCCGAAGGTGCGACTGGGAGTGCTGGAGGTGTTGCTGGTGCCGGAGGTGCTGGACCTACTACTGACCGTCATTGCCTGTCATGGCCACTATCATGGCAGTTGTGTCAAAATTACAAACGAGAATGAATGAACTATGAAACAGTTGGGTACAAGTGCTAACCCTAATTGGGTTGTACCCCTTATGGGCTACCCCAATACAGCCAACACAAATGTATAAGCTATAATGTTCTGACACACCCCCATAGGCAAAGTGGGGGAGAACAAGTGGTCACAAGACCAGTCAAGAAAAGCGAAGCAAGCTCAGGGTGGATCACGAACTCACCACACATTCCGAGCACAAGCAAATGGCCACAAGGCCAGTTCACATGCAGAGTTATATAAAGAGAACAAACAATACAGTGATCATACCCTAGCAAGTGCAAGCATGCAGGTATATATATAGATCACAGTACAAGCAGAGTCAAGCAGTAAGCAAGTGAGGCAGAGTAGGCACAAGGCCTAACAGAGTAGCAAAGCGCTGATGATCACCAAGCGGAAGTGCCTTGGTGAAGACATCAGGACTGTTGGCCCGAGTGGCCACGTACGCAAGACGAAGCTGGCCACGCTGCTGCAACTCTCGAGCAAGGAAGTATCGCAGAGCAATGTGCTTCGTTCTGTGCTCCAGTCTGTGCTCCTCACACAAGGCAATCATGGCCTTGTTGTCTACGTACAGAACTGGAGGCGAACGAGGCTGCTCTCCCAAGTCGGTCAGCAGGTAGGTGAGCCTTGTAGCTCCTGCGCAGCCATGGCCCCGACGTAGATCTCAGCCTCACAACTGAAGCTGAGAACCGAAGACGAGCGGGTAGACTGCCAAGAAACAGAGCCGGAACCAGGGCTCAAGGTGTAACCCTGTGACGACCACTGCGTAGCTGAGTCGTCAACCCAGGAGGCGTCTGCGTGACCAGTGAGAACAACTGGACCCCGTCCTCCAAGCACAAGCCCCATGCCCAACGTACTGCACAGGTAACGCAGTACCCTCTTCGCAGCATCCCAGTGCACCTTTCGTTGCCTACCGGGAGCCACGTAGCGAGCCAGAAGGCTGAGAGGGTACGCGAGGTCAGGTCGTGTGCATGTCATCAGGTACATGAGGCAACCCACAAGCTCTGGGTACGGACCACTCGGCTCTACGGACTCGTCCGAAGGTGGAGCTGAGAGCGAGTTGCTGGTAGACAGAGGAGTGGGCTGTGGCCAGGAGAACTGGAAGCCGAAGCGCTGAAGGACCTGGAGCACCATGTGTGACTGAGTCAGTGTGATGGTGCGCCGTGCTCTGTCCCGGGTGATCTGCAGGCCAAGATAGTTGCGCAGTTCACCCAAGTCAGCGCAGGTGTGTCTCTTCTGTAGCTCGGATTTCACAAGGGTCAGTGCCTCAGTGTCAGCAGTGGCAAAGACGAGGTCGTCGACGTACACGAGGACATAGAACGGCGGCAGCGACGTGTCGGTGCGTAGAAACAGCGACGGGTCCACAGTAGAAGGAGCAAACCCAAAAGCCGCAAGTGTAGTCCTCAGTGTGTCGTGCCACTCGCGAGGCGCCTGGCGGAGACCGTAGACTGGCCGGCGGAGGCTCCACTTAGTACCTGTAGGAAACGTCCCAGTGAAACCAGGTGGTCGGCGGAGCCAGATCTCCTCGTGCAGGCTGCCCTGCAGGAAAGCTGTGCTGAAGTCCAGAGAGTGCAACTCGTAGTCACGCTGAGCAACGACGTGTAGCAACACCCCAAGAGTAGTCATCTTCGGGGTGGGGGAGAAGGTATGGAAGTAGTCAACTCCCTGTCGCTGACTGAAGCCTCGAGCAACGTAACGCGCCTTGAAGGCAGGCGGAGAACACGGCGGCCGCTTCACCCTGAAAATCCACATGCCATCGACTATGTTCGCCCGAGACGGGGGAACTTCATCGACGTAGGTGCCTGTGGATTTCCAGGATGCCATCTCGGCATCCATAGCTGCCTGCCACTGAGAGGAGTAAGGACCCGTAATCGCCTCTGCGTAAGAGCGCGGGGTCGGGATGTCTGGTGCATCCGGGTCTCCCTCAAGGGCAAGCAGCATGGAAGCGAAACGAGGTACAGCAGCTGAAAGACACTCAAAGTCCTCCTGCCTGTCCTCAAGGACGTCCATGCCAAGAGCACACTCACCCCCGACGGATGGAGGACTGGCAGACACATACTCAGCAACTAGAGCAGTGACGTAGTCGAGACGGCAGGCAGCAGCAAAGTCAAGCAGCTCAGCAACGAGAGCAGACGCAGCAGCAGACTTAAAGGAAGGGTTAGTGACAGCAGTGGCGAGGAGACGAGAGACTGTGGGACTGGCAGCACGAGCGCGGTCAGACGCAGGGTCAGGGACCTCAGGAAGAGAGGACTCATGAGGAGCAGGCAGAGGAACACGCAGTGGAACAGAGGAAGGACGGAGTGCCATAGCGTGCGTGCCGGGGACAGGAGGAGGACGCAAACGAGGAGCGCGACGAGCAGTGCTAACAGGCGAGACAGGACGAGACGCAGGCTCACGACGCTCTGTAAGACCGCCGGACTGCTCAGTGTAAGGAGAGGGAGCAGGTAGTGGGCATGCTGGCTGTAACGGCGGCTGCGACTGGTCAGGCGGTGGACACAGGAAGGGAGGAGGAAGACCAGTAGACGACGGGACACCAAGAACCTGCTGAAGCAGGGGAACGAAGTATGGTCGCGGCCGCACAGTGCCTCCAGCACCTCCAGCGC